TTGCCATACCTCATTGACACAACAAGATGAATACCGAATTCGTAGTAGTTAATTAACTGGTGGTAATATATAGAGGAAAGACTGCATATAAAGACACAGTGCAGAAAGAAAGAATTAGTTCGTAGAAAGAAAGATATGAAGCGATTTTAATCTCTTAGTTTAAGGGAAGACAGAGAGTGTATACACCGAAGCCATTGTGATCGGTTCTGAGCCATGTTACCCATAATCTCCGATACATTGGTTACGATAGTCACGCGGACCCCAACCAAGTAGTCTGCATCTACCAACATGGCTCAGACTAGAAGTTAGTGACTTCAAGCACTACTACGGAGTAGTAAGTCGTGGAATTCTCTACCAGAACACGTAATATTAACACCTATTAATGCATAAGAAGTGAGATTAGATCTTCTCAGTACTACAGGCTGCGAGAATCGATGTAGGTCGACTGACCTCATATCTTAACTAATGAAAACTGAAGACTGGATAGACAATAGGAATTGTGGTAATTATTCTTCCAAAAGACTATGTTATTTACGCAGTGTTTTCATATAGAATACATTATAACTTAATGTCCGACGCTCAAACGTCGACAAAGAAAAGTATGACCGTGAACTACGTTGACAGTTTTAAATGATAACTTTAATCAAGTTTTGGATTCATGACAGATGGCGGTGGATTTAAAGCCGATTTGAAACTTAATCGGTAATCGTTATTGTATATTTAAAAACATTTTATCTCCTGAAACTTTTAAATTAAATCCATGCACCAGAAAGACAATGAATAATTTTGCCTAATGAAGATTCCTTATCGCTACTATAATTGGTTTCACGGGATTATTTAGTAGTATTTTTAGAAGACGAACTGTTAACCATACAACTTGGCATTATTTCCTGAAGGAGCTTTTTCCTTCACATAATCACCTCTGCAACTAATAAGAAAGTTAAGAAAGTGCCACTTTTGTCAATTTTGTTAGTTCTTACCTCATGTATTTGTAAACTAGCATCGGTCCAAGAGTAAAGATAAATGTTCTATTAACCAGTTTCTGTTCTCTTAAAATGAAATCTTTGGGAAAGTTATGACATTCTTGAAAATGTATGGTGAAGTACTGGTGTTTACTAAGTTGGCGGACAATTCATGTAGTTTATCGTGAGCTATAGGGAATGAATGATCGATTTTCGTTAGCAATTGGAGAATTTCCGCATACGACTAGTGTTAAAAGGAATGAAAACTGTTATAAAAGCAATTAAAATTTTCGTTTAATACTTGAAACGATGATATTAAAGAGTTTCATGTCGGCAATATATCACATTACTGAAGGCTCCACTACCCACAAAAGGAAATTTCCTTTTGTTGTTATATTAATATGTTTGATATAACTAAACCTAACAACGCTTATGCTATATGCCTTGGATTATATGTTTTTGCCTTAGAGATTGTTGAGATAAAAAACGTAGTCATCGTCTTGATGAATCAATGCGCCTGGTTGCATGGATAGATGAACGAATATGATATTTACTCATGTTAATAATGGGGTACTGAAAAAAGGCGTATGCTCTTAGCCATGTACCTTCATCTATTTGTATGTTGAAACTAACAAGGTTGAGGTATCAAAAAGGCAAAAGCCAGATAAACGAGGCTGCTTTCAATCAAGGTAACAGCGATGTACTCACAGAGACTGAGATTACCCTCAACTACCCTACAAGTTCTGTCATGTACCATGGTAGCAAAAACAGTCACATTAGATTGCCGTCCAAACACGGTATTACACCCCCCAATATCTAAAACTATAGTCCCTCACAACTTGTAAATTATTTAATCCTTACGATATTGACATTACATCTGCTTGGGAGATATACTGATTTTTGATGCTATTTACCGTAAATGAGCCCAGTTTGTCACTAACACAGAGTCATAAAATTTCGGAAAACCAACTTTCTCATCCACTGAAAAAACACAGATATATCTTTTTTATTATAAACCACTTGGGTTATGTCATCAGAATATATTTTTATATTCCAGGGATAAATTCTAAATGGTTTTGTTTTCACCTAACTAGTCAATCATAGACAGCGTAGGGACCGGTTCAGATATATATCATCTAAAATAAGCACATATGGTAGATATTGGCTGGCTGATAGACTAAGAAGAAACAGAGAGACATATATGGAAATGCATGGTCCATAAAGAATAAGATCAGAGACCGAAAAGTAGTGATTAAAACTAAAATCGACATTTAGATGTACATGGATAAATGATTCAAATGAGCTGTTGCTACTTATTTTGGCCTTAGCCACCTATTATGCGTTCTATGTGTATAATACCAGTGTTAATATGCACTAAATATATAGCTTTGAGTATCCGAAGAACATGGAAAGCAAATACGTAGGTTCAAAAAATTACAGATATAGCAGTGATCCATGTATGCGTAGCATTTCAAAGTTTACTGTAAATAAGAAAATTCTGGTAACATAAGGCATGAAACAAAATGCAAAAAATCCTTAAAAAACTGATAAATAACATTGTAATACATCAAAGTGTATAATTGAAGTACTAAAAACAGTTTTACCAACAGTACTCCACTGATGATATTTTTATGTGACATTAACTCTAATAATAGATATGTCTAATTCCTAGTAGTTGAGTTGATAAACACATATATTTAAAATGCATTTGCTAGTTTGCTAAAAATATTTGATATATATCTTCTGATTCATAACTCACAGCTATCGGTTACTTTGTACCTAGTTTAAAAGTGACTCATATTTCCAAAACTTTGACTTTAGAATGCGAAATTAGCTACTTCTTACGCACTGATTTCCTGATAATGGGATTTCAATTGACCCATAAACAGCATTGTGTGCACAGCTGTGTTCAAAGTTCGAAGTTAATATTTGTAAACATGGTTCTTCATAGAACTAAAACCTCATCAGTTTTTAACGGTTTTTAGTCTGTTTAGTAATGTGATTAAACTTATTCTTCTCTGACATCTAATGTTTTCATATCTGATAATTTGTGTGTAAGGGTAAAGATGTTAATTCATGGGCGTTAACAGAGTACTACCATATAGTGGTTATAATTTTGTTGTTCTTTACTGGTGAGTAGAAATAAGCTTAGCTTTGCAAGTTGAATCGACTGGTAAAAAATGATAAAAAATTTTATTTTCAAGAACAAATATAGCAGCTGGGCAAGCTAAGATTTGGATTGAATTATTATCAGTCAAAACGTTTATCTTCTCGATATACTTGTAGATGCTTTCATGAGTTGCATTCTTCTTATCTTCATAGTCAGTTTAATTTTCTGCAATCGCCTGTCCAAATTACTTCAAACTTCTATAACATGAACACTGCGACTTATTTCACTTACTACTGAATTAAGCTAATGACAATATGAAAGTGAGGAATCAAAGCTCATTGTATGTAAGTAGATTATATTTTGATGTATTAAAAATCAAATTCCTTTGGCTGAAAATCGCTGATAGTTGATACTATCCTTGTGACACTCAGAATCATTTTTTTAGATTTTAAGCATGAAACTACCAAAGTCGTAGTTTATCACGTAATGTGTTCCTTACCCAAAGATCGCGAAGAATGAGTTGTTTACTTATGTGATTTTACTTTTTCTAATTTGATCTTATTTCAGACAGTATCATACACAGGAGTCTCCTGATATGAAAGTTCATTGATCATGGTCATAATTGATAAGTAGATTAGTCACTGAAATAGGATGATTTATATTTTTTTCATTCAAAAATGGTCGTGCTAAGATGTAACTAGTATCACTTATTCTCTTTTAGGAGATATTTAAGTTTGAAATTGATAAAAAGTTATTATGAAGTCATTATATTGATGGATTATTGAGTAACTATCCTGTTGTTTAAGATTTCATCTGTTTTTTGAACCTTTACAGAAACTCGAACAAATTATTTCTGAATACCTACCTCCCTAAACTGTAAAGTGCTACTGAACAATTATAAACTTATAAGGTGATCTATCAGATACCTTTTATTTATAATGAATATCACGAAATATTCAAATTTTAGTACAGAATTTGCTTTAAATGAATATTTAGGGTAAGGGTTGAACGGCGATTGATAAGAATTACAAAGATTTTAAAACATCTAAAACGCAACACATTTGAAAACATGTGGTCAAGCCTAGTAACGGCTGTCATGATCAGACATTACTTTGTTCCGGATCTTTGAAGATAAACAAATGTTGATACTGAGTAATTTATATTCTGATCACTTCACTACACACTATCTGCAATTTTCGACTACATGTTCAGTTCAACTTTTTATCTCAGAAAATAGCTCGCATACACGAATGTGACTGACAGCCAGTTTTACTACTTATCAATCTTAAAATTAGTATGCTGTGGAAGCAAGAAATTCTAAGATGACTGCATTTATCGATAGCTTATTCTGTCGTACTTGGGGATTGTAGAAGATAAAGATATTTCTAAATTAAGTGCACTTGACTAGACGTTTCTCCAACATAGAGCTTTTTAGTACTACAACCACCGAGTAGTCGAATGTTGTGTATCGGATAAGTTTTCAAACATGAACAGACTATCATTTAGTGAGGCTATGAGAATATATTGACATGTGTGGCTTGATTCATCAAATGATTGACTCTAGATATCATTTATGTATATCCTACTTCAGATGTTATTTTCTTACACGCTTTTTTAGCAACTTGTTTTATAATAGGCTTGTAATTTATTTATTTCACAGATATTTTTTATAAACCAGATATGCTTCAACCAAACCCAATATTATGACATGTTCTAATAAGCCTTTTAAATGTAACATTATCTCGATCCAAATTTGAGGCTAATAGCACTGTAAGCTTGGATTATAGTAATCATTGTTTTGAAACCGACAAAAATACTACCTTTCATTTTGATATTAACAAGAAATACTGTTCATCATTGGTTATTATATTTCCAACCAAGTATTATGCTTGCTGCGCTTGTGAATTACACAATGAAACTATATCACAATGGATAGTTTTACATCAGAGACTGAAGCAGATTTAGTAGCATCAAGCGGATCAGCTTCGGAAGAGGATGTTAAACAAACATCAAGTTATAAGTAAGCTTGATTTTATTCTTCATTTCTAATAATATTTTAAATTTGAAGTTATTTGACGACTAATTTTCAGCCCCGTTTTGTATTGTTTCGCCATTATATTCACTTAAGTTAACTAAACTTGGATTGAATCATGAGTGTTGCGAATTAAACTGAGCGCAATAATAAATTACGTGAAGGTGTTTACTGTTAGTTTTAGCCACATCTTACAGATTAAATTACTTTTCTAAAAAATTTTGATCGACAAAAATGATAGCTGAATATTTTTTACTGAGCTCAGATTACTGGTTGGGAATGTTTCATCGCCAAACACTACATCTTCATCACTTTTGGTTTCATAAACTTGTTAAATTTTTACTTTCAATCGTTTATCAGAAACTCCTGATTACATCACGTAATTTATCTAAAACTTATGACATGGTTAAAGATTTTTAGTTGGACTTGAGTCGGAAAGTAATCAAAATAATTCAATAAACATTATATTACTTACTTTCTTACTCCTGTTGCCCCTCGTATCCTAGGAAGTCCATTTCAGTCACTATTCATCCTTTTGATGTCTGCCTCCGATTCCCGGAGCAATTGTTTCCTTAGTCTTCCTTTCTTCCGTTTTCCCTCGAAATTCCGAGTCAGATTTCACCTCGTGATACACTTTAGTGGTTTCCACAATGCATGTCCCACCCCTCACCTAACCCGACTTTTTCTAATTTCCTCTTCAGATGGAAGCTGGTTTGTTCCCTCCCACATTGGGCTGTTGTTGATGGTATCCGGTCAACGGACACTGAGTATCTTGTGTTGACAAATATTGATAAATAACTATACATTTTTGATGGTGGTTGTGGTAGTTCTCCAAGTTTCAGCTCTGTACAGTAGGACTGTCTTGACGTTCGTATAGAAAATTCTGACTTTGACATTGATTAACAGTTGTTTTGAGTTCCATATGTTGTTCGACTGTAGGGATGCTGCCCTCCCTTTGCCAATCATCGCGTCCGCATTTGATTCAGATCCTCCTCGTTCGTCAATGATGCTGACCAGGTGCGTGAAAGTTTCCACCTGTTTCTAGAGCTCCTCCATCACCCGTGCGATGAGATGGCAGTGAGTAGGGCCTCCCTGGCAGTGGTTGTATGCACGTGGTCATGTGAGAACATTTTGGAGTGAGACAGAGAGTTGACTCTCCCCACTCTCGGCCGTACCAGGGCATTTGAAATTACAAAGCATCATCAAATCTTGAATACTGTCAATTCACTAATGAATTACAATAATTTGTTTTATTATATTTCTTTTTATAAAAAAATTCACCTAATTAATTCTATTTGAATTGTATGTACAATAATCTAGGCATAAAGAGAATATTTACAAAAATAGCAACTTAATAATTGGGATTAATTTTATCTTCATAGTATGTTAAATGGTGAAGATTATTTTATTTTACTTCTATTAAGAGATACTCAAAATAAAGTAGATCTCAGAGTAATTTATTTATCTTTTATTCATATAGTTTAGAGAACCTGTACTTATAATAAACAACACAGGAAGAGAAAAGATTTTACCATAAAAATAAATGATTAGAAATCAATAAAAATAATAACTGTCACTAATCATTAGTATTATCTACCTTTAGTGTTATGATCATTAAATTTAATGGCATGTAATATTAATGTAATCTTTTCCATCAAACCACATCAAATCTATCGAGATTTGAGTATTTAGACTATTGAGCTGGCATTCAACAGTGTTAATGTTTAACTTCAACCAGTCGGTGAAATTGCGCCTTCGTCCACCGTTCAATTATTAAATTATTATAATCTCCACAAAACTCCTCTCTGATTATTATCATCATCTACTCACTAGTGACTGTCTCTAAGAGTTATTTTTTGGAGTTCTAGTGAGAAGCAGTGATCAGTGGATTTCAACCGGGTTTGTTGTGAGATAGTAATGATGGCGTAACTTCTTGGATTGGTTGCTGTTAGGCATTGACACCGTTGGATGCCGGCTCAGTGGTCTAGAGGTTAAGTGTTCGCCAGCGAGACTGATATGTCCTGGGTTCGAATCTCACGAGACGAGATCGCGGATGCGCGCTAATTAGGAGTTCCACACTAAGATGAAACGGCCGTCCAGTACTTTCAGGTTTTCCATGATGGTCTAGCTTCAACTGACTAATGAATTCAATTATTAAATTACCACAATCTCCTCAAAACTCCTCTCTGATTTGAGTATTCCTTAACTTCGTGTTTTAGTATTCGATCTACTGAATATATGTATGTGTCATTCATCAAGAGTTAACCTTTTTTGAATAGAGAATCATTCAAAAAGCAGTAAAGTAAAAAGAAACTCTGCTATTTACCAAAAAGATGAATATTTAATTGCACCAGCCACATAGAAACTCTCTCAGTATAAACTAGTCTTTTTTTATCAATGAGTTTCAGTATATGATCAAAACGTACTCATAGTCTTTAAACTTATTTGATATGACAGGATAAAAGTGGTATTATTTCAGATCATTATTTTCTGAGTCAATTAAATATGAATAAAAATAAAGAGAATTTTGCGCGACGGGAAATTTTTCTTTACGACGAAATCATTTACTTAAGCTGTATATTCGTATTTATAGTTGAAGAGTGCAAGATGATTAAGGGAACTATGGGTATTTTTACTTACTTATGCCTATTACTCCTCGTAGAGGAGCATAGGCTGAACACCAGCACTCGCCATCCAACCCTGTCTTAAGCAATCCTTTGCAGTTCTTCCCAGTTGTCATTCACCCTTTTCATATCTGCTTCTATTTCCTGACGTAGTGTATTCTTCGGCCTTCCTATTTTTCGCCTACCTTCAGGATTCCAAGTTGGGACTTACCTCGTGATGCAATTTGATGATTTGTGTTATGTATGTCCTATCCATTTCCAACGTCCTTTCCTAATTTCCTCTTCAGCTGGAAGCTGGTTTTTAGTTGTTTGATAAATATATAAATCTATAGAAAAATAGAAAAGTAATTTGACATTTCATATATCAAAAGGGGTTGCGTCATTATCAGACGGTTACAGAAGAATACGAGAATGAACATAATTTACGGGTGAGAATTATGAAAGATAACTATTCACTTGACAAATCTGAAGAAAAATGAAGAAAAAAACGTGAAAGCCATGATAACAATTGAGTAATAATAATAATCATGAAATCTCAGCTCACATAATGATGCAATTATTTTTATTTTTTTTATCGACTTATACATTTATCAAGCAACTATAAATACGAATGTCCAGCTGAGGCAAATGATTTCATTGAAAAGAAAAAATTTCTCATCGCATAGAATTCTCTTTATTTTTATTCAATAACACAATGTGTTACTTTTCATTTTTATTTATTTTAACACATTGATATTGGTACAAGCAGGCACCGAATACATATGCGCCACACAGATCTCATTTGATATGTGATACTGCCCGGGTGCCTAAAGCGAAGCAGGTGGTTTTCTTAGGGGGCCACACTCCGAGCCTTCGACCTGAAGGTCTGATCCACAAGGCAGTGGGGCAACGTCAGGAGATGCAGTCCCATAGTATCCGGTGACAAACAATAGGTTCATACGCCATTTGTTCCTTCAGGATACTGGAGCCCATGTGCACCATTGGTTTGGAATCAGGGTTTTCAACTCCCCTAGGTGGACTCACTGGCCCTGGTAAAGCGCCGGACATTCGCTTTTCGTCCTCTCATTTTCTTAAACAACAGTTGTTTCACGAGAAGGCAGTGAGTAGGACTTTCTTGGCAGAGACTATATACGCGTCGCCATGTGAGAGTGTGAACTACGTCTAGTGTGACAAGTGTAATCTTTGTAATCAGTGTGATTATTTTATTCTCTGTATCGATTCAGATGAACTGCATTCAGTGTTCTGTTATTGTGTGTGGGAATCGATATATAAATAACAGTATTTTGATCTAATGATAATATGTTTTGAAGAATCAATAAGTTTTCTGCGTTCTTACATTAAGTTTTGAGAATTACAGTGGTTTCCGATTTCAATTATAAGAAAGTTGAGTCAACGCACAACTGTACCAGGTTTTACGTCGATGATATCTATCTATATGTTCAGTATAAACAGTAGGACTATGGAAACAGTATGGAGGATGTTGATAGATTTCACTTCAAGAAAAAAGGTACTCTTAATTGAATCATATTTGTTCGACGTTTCTTGTACGTTGTATACTGGTAATCAATAGAAACATATCACGTTTTCCAAATCACAGATATACTCAACTAAAAACTTAAGATAATGATCTTCTTCATGTATCTAATAAGTATTTGGTCAAAATCACTTACGATTAATAAAAGCAAACAATACCAAGTACATTAATTTTTATGTTTACTTGTTTCCTAATCATTTAGAAGTAATTCCACCTTAAAAGGTTGGTTTCAAGGTCATTCATTTGTGAAAAAGAATCTACATAAACCTGCTACATGTCATCATTGTTCAGATCTTTTATGGGGAATATTAGGAACAACTGGAATGGTTTGTGAAGGTCAGTTGATTATATAATAGCTTCCATCTTTTTTTATTAGTCTAGTTTATTATTATTATTTTTCACTATGAAATGAGTTCAATAGTCTTATTTGGTTTACTATTGTTAGTTACTTCACAACGCAACTGTAGTTTACTCTCTAATTACCGATGTAAACAGATGTTTATTACGAAGTTCTTGAGTTTATTTAATGATTTCATGGAGTCCGATATTAACAATAAATCAAGGAAAACAAATATTTGTTTTGATTACTTGTCTTTTCAATGTCACTATTAGATTATTTTGAAACTTTTAGACTCTTCAGAAATCTTGAATTGATAATAGTTTGATCAATTCTCAGCTATTGATTATAATGTCATGGAGAAGATCATGTTCACAGTCTTAATCTTCATCTACCGAAATGTCTTTAGTAATCAAAACAACTCGAATTTATAACTGCTTCAAACCTACGTTTCACGCGAAATGGGTCACATGAATATCAGATGTCTAAGTTATTTTAATCTAGCTAGGGTAACCAGTTGTTGATATGTAAATGTCCTTTTCATACTGTGGATGTCATTTAGAAATTCATCTCAATCTTTTACTGTCACTAATGTTTTGAAATTTATTTACATTTATTGATTATGGAGATTAGTTCAATCATGAGAAACTTTTCGTCATAAAAGCGTTAAGTTTGAAGGACCATTGACAGTCATACTCAACTAGATAACTGTCTCATCCTAGTTTGAGAATTTTATCAACCGCAACCCGGACAGGTAACAAATTCAGAATCTTTAAGTCTCATGGCCGACATGGTACCAAATATATAGTTGGGTACATTAGTTTAAGGATGAAACTTCTTTCATCTCTAATCTAAAGTACAACTTTTATCTTCAACAATGAGTATACAGTAAAATTGTCATCCTCTCACTTTTGAATTGTTTCGACATTTTGATATTTTATGTGACATACTGACAATTGACATAAAATACTGATAATCACTGGACAGTGTTATTGAGTACTGTCTGGCCAATAAAAAACTCCAGTATTGGTGGTTGTGAAGATTGCTGAATATTATCGGGATCACAAACCGATCTAGTCAGGATCCAATAGTGATTAGGGTTTTTCCGTGAGAATGAAGATTCTAGGTTTGATCTCCAGTCGCTTGGTCGTGGATGAGGACTGCTGAGTACTCCCATAACAGGATGAAGCGATTATCTAGTGGTTTCAATTTTTGAATGGTTTACTAACTCAGATCGGTTAATGATTCCAAAAATAACTCATTTCAATTGTTATTGAAGCTGATAGGTTAACTGTATTATATCCTATTTAACCTATACTTAATGACTGATATATGTAGATGATTTAATTATCTCACATTTCAATAGTGAAGAGCTTAGGTTCCCAAGAAGAAGCACTTGGTTTAATCTAATAACAATAATATTTTCTTTAATTAAATCATCTTATTGTATAACAGATATTATCATTTTAACTTTCCTACTGTCGACAACATTCTGTTAGTTAGTTAATTAAATATATCAAAAGTATACGACTCAATGCGCTTGATGTTTATTATCTTTAGGAATACAATATTAATATTAATAATAATGGTAGTAGTAGTAGTATTAGTAGTAGTGATAGTGGTCGTAATTATTCATCACATTCCTGTAATATGTATTTTTTTCTGTTCCTCTTTTTCCAAAAAAAAAAACGAACAGTTTGTAATTTTCTAGCCCATGAAAAGTGTATGCGTGCAGTTGTTACAGCTTGTACTTGTATTGCACCATTTTTAACCAAGGTTAGTAATCATTTATTTGTATTAATTTTCTAAATTTTCCTGTTTTTTCGTATGCAGAAATTATGGAGATTTTAATAACCAGGCTCATGGTTTTAAGATTCATTTATTTTTTTTTGTTTTTGTTTTGCTGAATGTATGATATTAAACATATCAGTTAGTAACTCGTTGGTATAGATAATGTTACCATTATCAATACATCAATGTAATTTAAAACAGTTACTGAATTGTTAAAACACTCGGTTTTTAATTAGCTATCACAGGTTGAGAATACTTTTTTTTACCTACTATTCTCTTTAATTAAACTAAATAGAAACCGAAGATTTACTAGATCAGAATACATATCCGTTGTTTTTTCGTTATCTGCCACTGTTAGTTGCTGTGGTTATTTGCTCATCAGTTGCATTTTGGATCATAGTATTCATGTATTCATTAGCTTTAAAAAAAACTACTTATTGAAGAATATTGACAGGAATCTTGAATAAAAATAATATGTTATAATCAAAAGGGTTTACTTGAAATACAGTGCAATAAGTCAACCGTAAGCAAAGTAGAACTTGGTGTACATGTGCATTGATTCAGATCTCCATACTGTCCCATTAACTCCCAGAGTTTCAGAAACAGTAACAATATCAGTGGTAGTATAAAAAAATCGGTTAAAACACTTTGATTTGAAAAAAATAAAATGAATTCATGGAGTTAAAAGTTTAAGATATTTTTAGAACTCAAAATTCAAGAGAAGATAAAGAACGAATGCATCTGGACTGTTATAACCGATTTAATGCCCTATCTCTTAATGTTTCCAACCATCGATCAGGAAATTTTATTGATTAGTACACACAATAAACATGTAATCAACATACCAGGAATAGTTATTCGTTTCAAGGTTAACTGTATTACAAAAATATAGATGCTAATGTTACTTTATTCATATTATGCCGGGTTAGGTGTACCTTGTGACTAGATGAGAAGAGATTTTGCATTATAGTTTAATGGCATGGTAATTGAGAAAGTTTAAAATTAGGTGTATCAATATACTCAAACAGAATTCGAATATGGTAATGTTGAAACTCTAGTCATATTATACGGCTCATTATTGACACTTTACTACTTATATCAAAATTAAGATGCTTATTTTCTTTTAACAAACATTGTTTGACAAAATTACCTAGGTCCTAATATTTTTTCAACTAAACCTCATTTGTTTGTGTTTATTATGCAGTGGATAAGTTATTGGTGTTTGAAATGAAATCCTTTGTGTGAATATCAACACTGATGCGGTTGTATCCATCTGACGAGTCTCATCTGGGATTAAATGAACATCCTGGATTCCACTACTAGACACTATCTAACTCTGATACTAAATCTTATAAAAACATTGTCAAAAGCTTAAGAATGCGTTTGCTCATTTCTTTTTGTAAGTAGTTTTATAGCTTACATCACTAACAAGCTTTGGTTTGACAATCATTCAAAACGAGGAGGCACCAAGCAGATGGTCCGATCGAGTATGAAACGCCTTAACAACGCTCATCCATATTCCCACCAGGGACCATACCCAAGACTTTCAGATCTTGTTGCTAACAATTACTCATTAAAACCGTTCCGTTGACATTCTACGCTATACTTTCAGCTCCAACCAATTTTCTAAGGCAATTTTTTAATCATCGCTAATCAAGTAACTTCTAACAAATAGATTCGTTCAACATCAATAATTAGACGAAATTAATTTAGAATGCTTAAGATAAATGTGAACTGGAATGATCAAGAAAATTATGATTTCATATATTAATATTTAATAAAATATGTTGGAAATCACTAAGATTATCTTATAAAATTACAAATATATAGTGGCTAGAATAATAAGTATGCATATTGTGAATATGGTAACATAATACACAACAACCTACATCCATGATTAAGTTGATACAATCTGGAAACTACATTTGGAAAAATAACTCTATTATTTGAAAAGATACTAATAATGTGAATTATATGGTGAAGGCAAAGTGCATAATCAAATATGATCATATTTTAGTGTATAATATTTTCATCGGAATATACACCGTATCAGTCATTACACTCTTGTAATCACAAAAGGGCGAGACTATAATTTATGGATGAACCAATCATGTATGAGATAACAGGCCTCGGATTTTGACGCGAAATCCATTCATCCATTTGAATAAACAGAGTTTTGGCATTATAGCTTATGTCAGTTCGTGATGAAAACTCGAAATCTATTTCCCAACCTTAATTATCAACTGTAAATCATAATTCTAATTCCTCACACTGGTATATAACCCTCATTTGGTCCTGGTTATCAGGTGAACACTCTCAAGGTCAGTCTGGCGTCAGTAAAAGGTCGTCCATAAATTATAGTCTTAGTGCACAAAGTTATCCTTAGTAAGTAATCTGTAATGAACACAAATACTTTTAGAAATTCCTCTATCTAAAACATCGTCAACATTTTTGAGATGATTGATTGTTTTTCCCTTTCTCTTGTATACCCTTTTAAATATATTGATCATTTAGTTATCTATCCACTAGTTTATTGTTAATTGTAACAATATGGATTATCTATATACCTAATTTGAATAACCAATAAACGTATTGTAGTGAACAGAACACGGGTGGAGACAATCGAATGTATTTAACACAAAATTACAGGACTTGTTAATAAAATCTAACAATCATGAAGTAAATGCTTAGTTTGGGAAATGTCCACCAATGGTCTCAAAATGACTCAGACTTCACTGTTCTTGCATTTTCATACAAACTGCATCCTGTTTCCATTCTCTACTGTTCGATCCTCTTGTCTCTCTGCCGCCAAACTTTTTGTTCACGACTAACATCATATACTACTTATGTCAATATAAGTAGCACACACCACAGTATCTTTATTTGAAATAAAAAGTGAAGTTAGTAAGTAGAAATAAAAGAATCCTATGATTATCAGTATTTTCACCAGTTCAAGCTTTCTTTTCTTATGAACTTGACGAAGAAAAAAACTTTTTCCTTTACCTTTATACGTTTGTCTTTTTCTTTTCTTTTCTTTTTTTTTTTGTTGGTAAAAGGATCCTGTGCCTCATTGTTGGTCAGAAATTGGTCATTTTAAAAGGAAATTTTGTAATGTTTGCCGTAAACGTGTTGATGATTTATTGGCATTAAAATGTGAAAGTATGTTTTAATTTTATTTCTAGTATTTATTGAAATGGTAGTGAAGATGAGAGAGAGAGAGAGAGAGAGAGAGAAAACCAACATTATCATTCATCCAATACATCCAGCTGACAAATCATAAATAGAATGAAACTTGTGTGATAGATTTCACTGTTAGCTATTGTCAAAATAGTAGAATAACTCGATCAAAATTGTGAAATACAATCTATACAGATAGAGAGTTTGCATAAATTACTAATCCATATTTGATTATAAATGTCGTCAAGTAATTGATAGTGATTATCTTGAAATCATTACGTGGTTAATGCTCAGATTAAATGTAGGAGATGTGAGTAACAACACTGAAACGATTAAAAATGGCCGTGACTCTTTGCTTTCTCAATGAAAATTTAAAATAAAATTGAATCTCTAAAAATTCTTGATGATATTGTTTTAGAATCATTATTTTTTCAGCAGCTTAATTATTTATATGTTCGTCGATATACCTATTGTTTGTTTTTTGATGGAGTTTTGTTCTTTGAGCTGGATGGTTTGGTCATGGAGCTTTCATCACTCCTCTGAACAACATCATCAGCACAAACTTCAGAGAACAAAACTTTATCAAAATCATCCACCTGAGCTACAAATCTTCTCCACTACCTATTGTTTGTTTTATTAAATTAATCATAAACTATGGAAATTAATTAACTTACTGATAGGTAGATTGAATGCATAGTAACATTATTAAAGTTTTATAAACCCATCAAATCACTGTTCATATTTATCTAGAAACATATTGACATAAATCATGAAACTTGACACTATTTTTTATTCGAATCAGTCAATAGGATCAGTGTTTCAATAGCTACCATTTTAAATCGTCGCACTGCTTGCATCACTATGAATCAGGCTCCTTAGAGCTCTTATCCTGTATGACTGATTATCAAGGATATCAAAAAATCCAATAAATTCACATATATTTTCCACTATATCATCGTCGATTTTTTTCTGGTCTTCTTAATAATTGGGGGCTAATTCAAGAATTATTAGGGATTTAGTACAACTTGAGCTTAAGTGTACTTGAGTTTGAATCACTCAATGTCTTAACGATTGGGTTTGTTATCGGATTGCTGTTTAGATTTCCCTAGCTAGTGAAAGGTTATTACAATAACCCTATATAACCACTAAATTCAAATTGAACTAAATATGAGCTTTTATTCATCCGTTTTTCAGTGTTTAATAAGTGTATGGTATCTAGCATTTTCGAACTTTTTTGTTTTGTTTCATTGGTAAGTGTTGTATATAAGAGTTCACTTTTCATTAGAGATTTTATTTCGAACATCAGAAGTTATCCATATCTGTTCTTTAATGTAGTACATCTCAATACATCGGATGTAAAATACAACTCTTAACCTACTGGACCACTGAGCTGGCATCCAACGGTGTCAATGTCTAACTTCAACCAATCCATGAAATTGTGCAACCATCTTTCATTGTACTGAGGTAGATACCTGTCTCTACCCGACACGGATTAGCTTCACTGATCACGGTTTCTCATTAGAACTCCGACAATTCCCTCGCGAAGCTAGTCAATAGTGAGCTCATGGTAATTATCAGTAAAGGGTTGTGGACATTATTGGTTTTTTATTATTTTCTGATTCAGATCATGAATCGATTGATGTTAGACCACCATTGAAAACCCGTTTTACTTAAGCATCTATAGTCATTCATCAGTAGTGCCAATTTACTCAATAATAATATGTAGTATTATATGATTAGATAACTATCAAATAGCAATTATTTTCTTATCATTACAATAAACTGAAACTATGTTTTACTAATCTCTCATATTCAATTCATTTTAAAATAGAAATTATTCAGGGGCTTTTTTAAGTATTTCTGTTAAAATATCTATAATGGTGAATAGGTAAATTCGATTCCCATTTTACTAAAAACATAATTCTGTATTTCAATAGTATTATATCCCTTAAACTATATGGTTTAACTGATTATGATGTTATCTAGGATGAAAACGAAGGTTTTACATCTATCTAACTCAGAGTGAACACTGATAATAAAGAACCCATTTATGTTGTAAATCTTTTCTCAGTATTTCTTGTACTTTTAGAAAAACTACTGTTATTTTCAAAAGTTTGTATAAATACATGTTTATTAACAAATCTATGCTTGATATCATGTTTGTCGTTAGATCTCAAGGTTCTGCGTTCAATCTCGTGTTTAGAGTTGTCCTTTTACAATATCCTGAAAGTCCCAACGAATTTCTCGATATAAATTTCAGAAGCCCGAAAAAAGTTGAAACATTTTGTTCCATTAACATCGAGTAGTCATGTCTTTGGAGACATCTAGTAAAAAAAGAGGATTATGTATCATACTTCGATTGGGTAATTACGTATGTCACTATAAAATTACGTGTATTTTCAGATGCGTTTAAAAGGTCAAGGCAACCCACAAACCTATGAATAAATTTGTTTTCTGTATAGAAATTAAGCTTAAAGTAAAGCTTCTATTATCACTTCTCTACTTTTCAAGCTCAAGAGTATTAGTCTGATAATTTAGAAAGCGGATAGTAATTCAGCAACAAATGTTCCCATAGTAGATAGTCACTATACTAACTTTAAATGAAATAACCTGTCAAACGCGATTTGATATTTAGATGTTATTGCAGCTCATATTAGTCTGAGGTCTTTGAATTGATCATGTTTAACTGAACGAAATTCACTGCTCATGTTTAAGCTGAAGAAAAAAAAAGATGAATCGCACTGTTTGTTTGGCTTTATTTGCTAACTTTATATAAACTCATGAGACTAAATTATGGGTAGAAACAAAACTGCAGTAATACATCTAAACCAATAGACTGAATGCTGAAGATTCCGTGTATAATAATTTAATTAACGTCAAATAAACATCGCTTTTCTCTTTAAAGTTAATCTTCTTTTACCGTTTGCTATCTTTTCTTCCAATCACCGTTTTCTCATTAGTTTAATGATATAAAATTTCAGTTAGGGAACCACCAAAAAACAGAAAGCATCGAATAGCTACTTCACTCTAGTATGAATTCTCCAGAAGTATGTACCCACTACCCCTTCGGTAGTGGGCTCTCATACGGCGGTATAATTGCAACTTAGGACAATTTAATCACCACTTCTGAGTCCCATAGTAATAAGAAACAACTGTCCAGTTCTCAATAGTTTTCACTGGTACCCCTTCTGAAATCAACCTTCGGGGAATGCAACCTACAAATCAAACCCATCTCTACCAGTCATCTATTAACATTCTTCATCCCTCTTCTTTATCTAACTTTATGTTGAATATATTGTTGGGAGTCCACAAACATCTTATTACAAAGTCTCTAGAGTCATGGAGAAAACGTTTTATCTAGTCAAGATTGAATAGGGGCTTTTCATAAACATTTATAAAAACGAAAGATAGTGTGCTACGTTTTGATTATATATATAATGTTTGCAGAATTTAATAGTTGAATTCATGAGTCAATTAAAGCTAGACCACCATGGAAAACCTGGAAGCATTGGAAGGCCAGAATTGTTTAGGAGGTCAGAGTCACATAAAACCATAAGTACACCCGATTTTCTTCGCATAATTAATCTTGGATTAAAGCTCTTACTCACGTTTTGGGCCTATTCGCTTTTGTTCGAGTTGAAGTGCAGAAGTAGATTGAGATTATAGTAAGCGGCTATGAAGTTAGTAATGAGCATTCGGGCGGTAGAACTGTCACGTATAAATCCTCACCAATCGTAAATACTATACTGAACATCGTGGATTTCTTTGATTTTCTTGTTATTATGATCATCTACCCTGTTTCGAACCTCAATCTTAACTACATTGACCTAAGTTTTCGTAATATTTTTACTCTATTAGTAATTTTTAGCTTATATGGTTAATAAAGAACCTTGGAATCAATTGATGTATTCATTTCATTCAACAAGTTTCACTGTTATTGCTTTGATTTTGAAAACAGTTCAATGAGAACCAATATTACTTCATTTGTAAGGAGGTTATCTGTTTCGCTTTATTGTAATTCAAAATGTTTAAGAGGATGAAATATCAAACTGAATAATGTAGAAAATAACATAAATGTACATCGGTTCAAAGATTGTTACATTTTATATTAGTTAAAGAGGTTCTGTAGAGATTGGTTTCACTTGTAGGTTGTATGCACCACCAGTTTATCTCAGTTTGGGTAGCATTGAAAACCAGGAAGCTATGTACAGCTGTTGAGCTCTAGTATGGGGTTTTTCAGTAGTGCGTACCAATGACCCCACCAAGAGTTAAACCCAAGTGCTAACTTGAAATCCTGAAGGTAAGCGAAAAAGAGGAAGACCGAAGAACACACTACGTCGGAAAATGGAAGCAGATATGAAAATGATGAATAGCAGCTGGGAAGAACTGGAAAGGATTGCCCAGGACAGGTTTGGATAGAGAGTACTGGTGGTCGACCTATGCTCCTTTGCGAGGGATAATAGGCGTAAGTATACATTGGCATGATTGAAAGTGTTTGTGAAGATTAGTTTGTACAAACAGATACTTGTCAACCATTTAGAAAATCATTACAATCCCTATCATTATTCACCATCGTTTAAGGGTTTTTAATGGACAAAAGTACACATTTCTAAATTCCTCTTTATTTGTTCTTCAATATCCCAATGATGACAATGATAAGTGACCGTTATTGCTATAAAGGACTTTTATATAAAAGTGAAAATAGGACAGAAAAATAAAAGGAATATTTTTTACACATTTCAAAGACGTAACTAGTGAGTGTTATTTTTAATTAATTAATTTATTTATTCTTTTGCTCCATTTATTTTTTGGCCTAGATTATTTCTCGTTTTTTTTTGTTGGTCTTTTTGTTTCCTTCTTTTGGTTTCTTTGCCTGAAAGAAATTCTATTTATAGAAACAAAATTTTGTGAGAGAAAAATCTATTCATGATTAATTGTTTACCTTATGTAGATAAGTAGGTAGGTAGGGAGGGAGGGAGGGAGATAGGACTTTTAGTTTCTGTTTCCTTCCCATGAGTCAAGGTCACGAATTTAAACGAAGTGACTTTTAGTTTAATGACACAATTTTTTAATTTAGTCTGTCTATCCACCTCCTCCTGCTACTACTACTACTACTACTACTACTACTACACCTTGACTACTACAACGACTGTTTATATTGTCATTTTAAGCGGCCCAATTCTTATTTACTGATCCAAAGATCCAATTTGTACTGTTTTGAATCTACTTATAAAATCACTTCTAATTTTATCGATAATCAATATAATCCTGTCATGTGGTGGTATACGAATGCTTCCCTCTTTTATATTCACTCCCATAATATATATATATACGTCTTTCGTCAGGTGAAGACATATTGATTGAGTGTATAGTCTATTAACTCTTAATAATCGAATTCCCTTTCTACCTCTCTTTATCTACCTAACTATCTACATGGATGTATTTATTCAGTGTGTTTTTTTATTGCTTTCTGTATATATATATATATATTATTGCTAACTTCATTGTGATCAACAAACATGCAATGTCACACTTGTCCTCTTAATCATAAAAAAGAAGTACTGAAAAAAAAGGAAATTTTCAGAATTCCATTTTATTGCCATATAAAAAAAGTAAATCTATTTATCCATTGGCCTTTTGAATATGTCTACGTATATATCTGTATACGCATTTGTCTTGTCTTCCGATATATAGAAGTATAAGTACAGCAAAATCTCATATCCATTTGATATACATATGAATATTGTAATATTTATAGTCATAGAAAACAACTGAACAGCTGTAGTTAGTTAGTTAAGTAGTATGTTTACTAAAGGATAGTCTATTAAATGAAAAGTGTGGGTCAAAATAGAACATAACTACTATATTCTTCTATTCTGTTACTCGTTCATTTTGTCTCCTATCAAAATATACATATATACATCTTTCTCTACTAGTCATTTTTTCGTTTACATTCTTTTTTTCTCGCTATTTTTGCGGATAGAGCTGTTATTGATTAAAAATTGATATTATAAACGTATATAGTTGTATATTTATATATTGGTATCAGTTAATATGGCTTGATTATTGAGTCACTGCTATTTACTATTTCTAAAATGTTTATTTCACAATTTTTCCTTCTCATGGTTAATGTTAAGAATTATAACTGATCAGTCTCTGTGGACATTTGTCACCCCGAGCGGATTGTCTCGATGTGATCATTAAATCATAAGTTCTTTTAGTGAAGTTAGATTATGATTGAAGATGGTATCCACAACATGCATGCTATACTATTTGTAATTTGTCAGCATGATGTAGCTGGAACCTAATGCTGATGGTCATATTGGAACTCGAACTCAGTTTTAAAACATTGACGTTTATTGTAAAACATACTGTGTTCGACTCCTAGTGTCAACATTAACAATGGGATATACAAAAATCCAGCCGACTAGTCCCAAATAGTAGAAAACATGCCATCTGGATTTCACTCCTAGCTGCAATCTAATATTATTAATAATCCAAGTCAATATAAAGATGATTAGGGGTTTGTGATTTAATTGACATCTGCATAGTTTTTTGTATTCCAGCCATAATTTTCATGAATAGGGTTTTCGACGCCAATCAAAATATTGTCTTCATTCAAAAAAGTGATTACTACAATTCGGTTATAAAACATTAGATGGGTAAAAATGATTTTGTTCCGTTTATGTCTAAGTGATTATACACATTGGAAGGATTTTAATCTATTTGTCATACACATAAATTACCTAATAATCTATTGGAAAGGTTTACGTTTTCCTGTTATTTAAGAAATCTCGTGATTAATCTTAATTATACATTCAACACACTGTTTTCTACATCAAGAAAACCTGTGAATATTCACATTTCCGTAAGATAGATGAACATGGAACTACATTATTTTAACTAAAATTTTCATAGCTCTGCATGTAAACATTCTGTACAAATAAACATTCATATTTTTGCTTCCAAATACAGAAATATCTCAGTCAGTCATAAACATTGTGTAATCTAGCATATATGGAAACCGATTCAAGTAAGGCAGTTGATGGAGGTAGTAGACAAGGAAACCAGATTGACCTACGTTTTATGCTATGATGTAACTATAATCTTTGGGGGGGGGAGAGACTGGCGCTCCTTGGCGGATTCAATCTGATGACATTGAGCCTAATAGTCAAAGACGTCACCATTTAGCTATTCGGATATCGACTGACCTCCTGTAGACTGAGATATATACATAAAATTGACTGATCACTGACTAGTGCCCAAAATCATATATGTCAAGGCTTTTTTAGTTGATTGAGCTCGATCAGCACTACAAAAGATTTGACATATACAACATTGATCCCTGTTCAGTGTTCAATCGATTGTTAATTGGTCAAAATTATCAAAGTATATCAACAAACGCAGTCAAAATTAGTTATAGTATCCATGATAATAATAAAAAAATGTAAGAAATAAACAAAAATAAATGAACCTATTTTAAAACACAAAATTTAAAGAAGGAGAAGGATTGAATTCATTAATTAAAAACTAAATTTAACGCCTACTCAATCATCAAAATACCACTATTTGATTTAAGCAATAAAAATGTTATTTTATTATTTAATTATACAATAGTAGACTTCAACTAAATGATCTATATTTTACTATCTCTAGTACAAGATCGTATGGAATAATTTATCTAAATTCAGTCTGAACTATAATGAACCTTTACTAATATAATTATTATTGCTAATACTTTCACTTTTCCATTTTTGGCATTCATACTTAGTCGTTTTTTTTCTTTTTCTCTCTCTTTTGCCAATATTTCAATATCAAGTTAAATGTAATGTAGGTAATAATCCACTTTTCAGATAGAAAAAAACACACACCGAATTCAACGAATTGATCATTGAGATGATGGAGAAGATTTGTAGTTCAGATGTATCTGATCCACCTGAGCTACGAAGTGATCACTTTTCAACTAATTCATTATCAATCTGTATAGTCGTATATATAAGTAAAATGTTAATTATTATTAATTCTATAAGGAAATATGAGTAATGTGACGGAAGTTAAGAGTATTTCGTTGAACGAAGCTATGACTAATATTCAATAACAGAAATTTGTTTTCTGTATCCATGAATGATAAGCTCCTTCGTCTGGTTGTTTCTATATAGATCTACTAGTTCACGTCTGATCATTGTCTGTGCCATAGTCTTATATTATTTTATTTCACTGGTTTTGCATCTAAAAATGTCCCTCTCTTTTATCATTTCTCATATTTATTTGTAATTGTTGCTGATATTACTTCATTTCATCAAATTCCCCGAATATCTTTAATTAATGTGACAAAAACATTTTATCAGTATAGAGTTGTGGAGATTATTAAGTTTTTGATTGAGATCATAAACTGAATGATATTCGACAACCATTGAAAGCCTGGGATCTCGCGAGTGGGATCGTGAATGCGCACTGCTGTGGAGCCCTAAAATAGGACGAAACGGCCGTCCAGTGCATCCAGGTTTTCAATAGTGGTCTAACATCAATCAGTTCATAATCTCAATCGAAAACATTTTAATCATCTCACTGTGTCCACATTATAATTCATTGTCAACTTATTAATTTTGCAAGGTTTCTTATTTGTACACACCCATTCAAACATACAATTCTTTATAGTTATTATTCATATTACATAATCTGGTATTATAACCTTTCTATTATATCATCTTGTCTATTTATTGTCCATATATTTTCACAAAATTTAGAATTTCGCACACATGTACAGCTTGATAATAAATGGTTGGAAAAGAGATCCATTCTCTGAATATCGTGCTTTTACTTATAATCTTATCATTGTGATCTCAAGTAAAAAGCAATTTAGGAAAAAAACCAAGCAGAGTTGAACAGCGCATGAACTTCCCTAAGATTACTGCTATTTTTTGTATTTTTTCTACTTTTTTTAGTTGAATGATCTTCTTATATTGTACTAATGTGAAATACAGCAACTTGTATCCGTGTACATCTTTGCTAGGTCTGATAGTTTATAACTGAAAGATCAAATGGTATATACATATAACACAATTCAATGTAGTAAAATATAATTCCTCATATTTTTTGTTGTTGACACAATAATACGCTAAGGTTATCCGTTTGTAAATTTTAAATTTCACAACTTTGTTCATTTTGATGTTTGAATTTGTAAATTTTTAATGAGACTGTTGCATAGAAACAACTTCTGAATGTATCAATTTCTTGACTGTTAGCCTAAACCATTTATAAGGAACTCAAAATCAAACTAGATAATCTTGTTGAGACATATTTCACTTCATTATTTATCATTTAATAAACTGTTTATCAATATTATATTCACTTATATCATTACTGATTATTCGTAGATATAACTATACAGTTTATTCTTAATTAAAGGATCCTGAGTCATTTTTATGGCCATAAATTTTATTTAGAAGAACAAAATAGACTAATTATACTCAAAAGATTTCATAAACAACCAAATTAATGCATTGTACTTACTGAAAAATAACAATTTGCAACGCCTTCAGTTTACAATTAATTCTGTGAGATAAAAGCCCTGTTACGGGGCATACAAAATGAAACGCATTCCAACCAGTCGGATAGAAATATGGAATTATCACAGAAATGATGATTTTAGGTAAAAAAAAAATCTCAGTTAAAATATTACTGAATTACACATGATATACTCATTAAAACAGCAGAAAATGTCGAATACGTCTCAAAAGTGCAATGGGATTATCTCACATTATTATTATTATTACCGTTACTATTATTATTATTAGTTAATTTAGCATGGGCTTTTTCTATAAAGATTTATGTTTGCTATACTCACCAATTAGTGTTCTCCTTTTTTTACATTCTAGTTTGTGAATATTATTCACATTATGAATGTTTGGATTTTGTAGCAGCAGATTGTAAACAATGTGCCACTTCTACATTGACTTCAATGACCAAGGTGAATGACTGTGTATTTATTTTTGTTTCTTTTTTCTTTTCATTCTATCTTTCATGATTAATTTGCGTTAGTTATGTTGTTTACTTTGACACTTTTTAACTAGTCAGTAGTTGAGTCAGTCAATTAGTAAGTCACAGACTATGTGGAACCTGGTACATATTCGTATCTGTTGAAGTTCCTACATCGCATCAGCACAGCCAAATGATGTTTAAAAGACAAATGTTAGAGTAGCATAGAAGCAATAAGAGAAGAGATCAGGCATAGACAACATGATCCGAGAAGAAATTATAGATTTCTGGATTAGAAAGCATCCCCATAGGTGTTTTTGAAGCATTGTATATTTTGGGACCATCGAGCTAGAGTTTTTGATGTTAGACTCAGAAAACTAAATGAGGATAGCGAATTGATTGACGAGATAGTGAAACCGTATCGATCGAGATATCTGGAATATGTACTACTCATGTCTATTCAAAGACTACTTTGATGCGCGATGATGGTTGATGTAGTTGATGATTGGAAGAAAGCTGGGGAGACCAAACAAAGATGTAGTATCAGTCCGTGAATATACTGACTATTGGACTGATCCATGCAAACTGCCTTGCCGGAGTGCACGCAATTATAGTGACTAATGGTTAGAGACTTTGTTGACATGGCTTAAAATCATTTTCAGTGCACTGACCCTTTGTCTTTGTTTAGATCTTAGGTTTTGAAATTCCCAACGATTTTGTTGACCGATTCATACTTTGTTCTCGAATCGTATCTTGGACACCTCTACTGCTCTGAAATTCGCCCTGGCAATTTCATCTCTCCGTGCTAATAGACTTTAAAAACTTGAACCGATGTACACATGTACCAGATTCTACATTGTGTACGACTGACAAACTATAGCTTTAAAACCAAGGTTCTAAGAGAAGAAAAACAAGGAGTGCATCTACGTCATTATGACCGATTCTGAGCCAACCTAACATCTTAAACTAATGGCTATTTGGACCGTTCGGACCTTCAATAGTATAGTTATGATTTCTATTTTCTTGTTGTTTGAAAACCAAATCCAAAACTTTCAGAATAATTCATCGAAAAACATAAATATCCTTTAAAGTTTCAAAGTTTTCTTGTTTTAATTATAGTCTCCAACATGCATACCTGATACAGTTGAAACAAGAAACTCCTATATGATGTCACGTTTACTGAAGAATTTTTCGAAATCGTACTCATCAAATGACCCTAATGATTCACTGCTCATTGATTTGACTGATAATGAATTAACTAATAAATGTATCAATAATATTAACACTACTACTACTACTACTAATACTACTGCTACTTCAGCTGTCAGTAATACAATTCCCAGTACTATGTTTACTACTAGTAGTACTAATACGTCAGTAACATTGATTTCTCATTCTTCTTCAATGAATACGCCTAAAACATCAACACAATGCACTCCAGAAATCGGTGAATTAGCATTATTAGAAGCTGTGAAAACATTATCATCATCATTGTCAGCATCTCCTCAAACAACTTTAGGAACTAGTGAAGAACAAGTATTGTGTACAACAAAATCAGCAACAGATGCTTCCATACCTCCTGTCAAATCTTCATTAATATCTTCACATGTACAACAATCACATCACTGGCGTGAAGGCAATTTACCAGTAAACTCAAAATGTGCGTCATGTCGTAAAACATGTTGGTCTGCTGAATGTTTAACTGGTTTACGATGTGAATGGTGTGGTGTTACAGTGAGTGGGATTGTTTATTATTTTTCTTTGGTTAAAGGACTTAACAATCTACTCTTAATGTATGCCTGTACGTGGTTTAAAAAGTTGGTTATACTATAATATATTTTCTAACATTGCCAGTTAAATTTCAAGTTTAATTCAACTCAGTGAAGAAACTTTCGAACTATATTACAAACTTTATTTCAAGATATTAAGTGTTATCAATTGATTGATTCTTGGCGCTTTTTAGCTATTGTTGAGATCGGTTTGGATCCTATAGGAAATATCGATTACCTAAAGATAACCAGTATGCCTTACTGACAATAGACAACTCACGAGAAATCCAGGTCCATGGTTTCCAGCCGATTATTTCAATTGCCTAAGAATTTTATTTATTTGTATCGTCGATTACAACTTAAACTTATATCATAAATGTGATACCCGACCGTTGTTGCTACCTTGACGTGGTGGTCGGGCTTGCCTATCGTGATGAAGCAACCGAGCTATACTGACTGGAACAACCGTTCCTCAAGGTCCAACCATGTCAGACAGGTCGGTTGAAGAGCGGTAAGACTAAAAGCAACAAACCCAAGGTCCGAAGGCGAAGTCGTACTGCTGACTGTACAGAGGTGTGACAGCAGTAAGGTGTTTCCTTCAGACAACCAGCATGACAGCGATGCTGCCTTCCCACAAGGAGGGGTGGGGTTAGAAAAGGTCGACCCTAAAAATGCACACCTCACCTTACTTCACGGATTTCCGTCTCCGGCGGTAAGGCCCTTTGAAGAACGGAGCTAACACGTTAAAAACCTCCTACGAAAAGGCCGTGCGCGACCGGCCTCAAGCAGTTGTCCCTTGGGCACTGCGGTCACGCTCTCAGGTCACTAAGACCACCCTTAATCCAATTTCCTTTTCAGGTACCTCAAGAAGAACCCTTCCACGGTGTGGGCAACCGGGAAGTGATAACCGCCCTCATACCTCTAACAGCACCCAAGACCACTGTATTCATAATCAACCTCCCTCTTCAATTCCTATTATTCCTCCTACATCGACTTTCAACTTTAAATTTCCTCTCTCGGCTTCCACCTCAAGTGTCACCATAGCCAACGATTCTAGTGCGCAAAACACTGTCCCAGGTCTACTGAAACCTCGCTCCAAACTACACATTGGAGCCTTCAACGTACGCACCCTATGTCAAATCGGTCAGCAGGCTTCCTTGGCTAAAACCCTAGAGTCTCTTTCCATTGATGTATGCTGTGTCTCCGAAACACGCATACAGGATTCCAGTGTGGTTATTCACTTGACCTCACCTCGGCAAAACGGAGAGCCAACAAGATACACCCTTCGTGTATCTGGTGACCCGATGGCAAGTTCTCGTGGACTGGCAGGTGTAGGCATAGCACTAAGCATGAGGGCGGAACAAACACTGCTAGAGTGGATCCCCGTCAACAGTCGTCTATGTGCTGTTCGGCTGAACGGCTACGTAAGAACTCGGAAGGATAGGGACACACGTCGTTGCCTTTTTGTCGTTTCTGCCTACGCTCCCACTGACTGCAGCTCAGATGAAGTGAAAGATGAATTTTACAGAAAGCTGTCCGAACTTCTTCAGAAAGCTAAACGCTCAGCCATAGTACTCGTAGCAGGTGATTTTAATGCTCAGATAGGTAGCTTAAACCAAACAGAAAGGCATTTAGGTGGATATTTCAGTGTTCCGACACAGCGAACAGATAATGGTGATCGTCTGCTGCAGCTATGCTCAGACAATCGTTTATTTTTAGCAAACACAAATTTTAAGCATAAGGAGAGACATCGTCTAACATGGCGACCCCTTACACCAAACCAACGATGGACTCAAATAGACCATATTGCCATCAGTCATCGTTGGAGAGGGTCGGTAGAAGATTGTCGCTCATTCTGGAGTACCTGCTTGGACTCCGACCATGCCCTAATACGGGCACGCATCTGCTTGCGCCTCACTGGACGCAAAAAAGCCACATTAAAAAGACCCGTCAGAACTGAGTTGAGTAACGAGAAAATCAAAAGTAGGTTCCAGGAACAACTGAGGTCACACTTAGGTAGTTGTGAAGACGAGGCTGACCCAGATGTTGCTTGGAAGGGCATACAATCAGCTATGGAAACAGCAGTGACATCTATTAGTGACTTAAACCACAGAGTTGCAAGGAACCAGTGGATTTCTTCAAGGTCTGTCACACTGATGGATTCTCGTAAACTCGTCCCATCAGGTTCTGAACATGATGAAGAGCGAAAACAAATCAGATCTAGGTTAAGAAAAAGTCTAAGGAACGACCGTGAGCAGTGGTGGGTAACGAAAGCAAAAGAGATGGAAAAGGCGGCGATTATAGGGAACACAAGACAGCTTTACAGACTAATAAAAGAAACTGGAATTAATAAGTCAAGTGTAAGTGAGATTATTTCGGAAAAAGATGATACTCTCATCTGCTCCCAGTCCAGACGTTTAGAACGATGGGCGGAACATTTTAGAGAACAGTTCAGCTGGCCTTCAGCTACTGTACAACTACCCTCCATTCCCAGACAGTGTGAATGGAACATTGAAGTAGGTCCCCCAACTCTTGCTGAAGTTCAAAAGGCTATAGTTAATCTGAAACGAGGAAGGGCAGCTGGTCCAGATGGATTGGCTCCAGAGGTCTTTAAAAATGGTGGTCCAATTTTAGCGATTAGGTTGACTAATATTTTAGCTAAGATCTGGGAATTAGACTTTATCCCATCTGACTGGTCGCAATCACTTATCGTCCCAATATATAAGAAAGGGTCAAAATCATCCTGTGACAACCACAGAGGGATTAGTTTAACAAACATAGTACCTAAAATACTGGCCTCGATAATTATCAAACGCCTAACTAAGACTCGTGAACTACAACCTCGAGAGAACCAAGCTGGCTTTAGACCTGGTCGTGGCTGCATCGACCACATATTCACCATTCGTCAGGTTCTAGAACACAGGCATACCTATCGGCGTCCGACGATGGTGGTCTTTCTTGACTTAAAAGCAGCATTTGATTCTGTAGACCGCGAGACTCTATGGCAGTGTCTGTCATTGAAAGGCGTACCTCAGAAGTACATAAACCTTGTGAAGGCTCTTTACTCGAACACTACTAGTCGAGTCAGGGCTTATGGCGAACTGTCATCTACTTTTGCAACTTCAAGTGGTGTCCGTCAAGGCTGTCCGCTTTCTCCATTTTTGTTTAACTTCATCATAGACCTATTGATGGAAATAACACTCTCGTCGACTGAATTCTCGGGTATGATCTCCTTCCAGGAGGTCCACTTATCGACTTAGAATACGCAGATGACATAGTCCTGTTTGGTGAAGACGCTGACAAAATGCAGAGTCTTCTGGTAGCACTAAGCAACAATGCCAGAATGTTTGGGATGCGCTTCTATCCCTCTAAATGCAAGTTGTTGCTTCAGGACTGGTCTGCATCAACACCTGAACTAAGGATAGGGAGTGAAGTAGTCGAACGCGTCGACAACTTCACTTATCTTGGAAGTCTGATCAGCCCTAATGGGCTGGTGTCTGACGAAATCTCAGCACGGATTCGAAAAGCTCGTTTGGCTTTTGCCAACTTACGTCACCTTTGGCGGAGGCAAGATATCCGTCTATCAATAAAAGGACGAGTATACTGCGCGGCAGTCCGTTCTGTCTTACTTTACGGCAGCGAAACATGGCCTTTAAGAGTGGAAGACACCCGTAAGCTACTAGTATTTGACCACAGATGCCTTAGAAATATTGCTGGCATCTGCTGGGATCACCGGGTAAGTAATAGTGAGGTTAGACGCAGGGTATTAGGTAATGATGGTAAATCAGTTGATGAGGTTATGAATCTTCATCGACTGAGATGGTTGGGCCACGTATTACGTATGCCTGAACACCGATTACCACGACGTGCAATGCTAACCGGTGTAGGCGATGGTTGGAAGAAAGTTAGGGGCGGCCAAACCAAAACGTGGCATCAGTGCCTGAAGTCACTAACTTCTAGTCTGAGCCATGTTGGTAGATGCAGACTACTTGGTTGGGGTCCGCGTGACCATCGTAACCAATGGTTGGAGACTCTTGGTGACATGGCTCAGAATCGATCACAATGGCGTCGGTGTATACACTCCCTGTCTTCCCTTAAACTAAGAGATTAAAATCACTTCATATCTTTCTTTCTACGAACTATTTCTTTCTTCCTATACTATATCCTTATTGCAACCTTTGACCTAACCACTCCTATGAATCCGGTGTTCATCTTGCTGTGCTAATGAGGTATGGCAACCTGGACCGATGCACATATGTGCCTGGTCCTACGTTGTAGCTGACTGACTGACTGACTGATAAATGTGATAGCTTTTTATTCTTCGATATTGTTTCAAAGGTAACATTCTTAATCATACATTTAAATAATTTTTTAATTTTTATTTAGGCGCATTATTCATGCTATAGAAATATACCGCTAGAATGTGATTTCGGTGTACTGAGAAATATCATGCTTCCACCATATTGTGTATCAGTGCCTCGTACAAGTTTATTGGTTGAACAAATTATTGGTATGTGTAGACCTCAACCAGAAACACTAATGGGAGGTACGTTTAATGAAGATAGCCAAATTCTATTTTTATACATTATTTTCTACAAATCACTGACTAGACTACTTAATTACAGAGTTGTTTCCATCGGAAAATGGTAGATTTCCATTATTAACATGTAAGGTATTCAGAAAATTAAATATTTTATGGACTAAATTACAGCGCCCCCAAATGCTCTGGTACGGCCGAGAGTGGAGAGAGTCCGCTCTTCCTCTCGAAATGATCTCACATGGCCACGCGTGTATAGCCTCTGCCAGGGAAGTCCTACTCACTGTCTTCTCGCGGCACTACAATTGTTTAGGAAATTTAGAGGATGAAGAGCGAATGTCCGGCGCTTTAACCGGGTTGGTAGACATGGAGAGTTCACCTAGGGGAGTTTGAAAATCCTCATTCCAAACCAATGATGCATATGGGCTACAGTATCCTGAAGAAACAAATGGCGTATTAACCAATCGTTTGTCACCGGCTACCATGGGAACGCATCTCATTACGTAGCTCCACTGCCTTGTGGATCAGACCTTCAGGTTGAAGGCTCTGGGTGTAAACCACCTGCTTAGGTTTGGCCATCCGGGCAGTATCACAGCCCCCACACATATCAAATGAGATTTGTGTGGTGCATATGTATTTGGTGCCTCCTTGTACCAATATCTATGTGTTAAAATAAATAAATAAATTACAGCTATACTGTATTTTTAATTTTATGTAGTTTTGTTTTTGCACTCAATCAAAACAATAACACTATAATTCATTAGTCCATACAATAAATCATTCTAAGTTTTTATTGAGATAACAGGAAAGATTTGTGACTCCAGTTAACAAATGCTCCATCCTAAACGAGAATTAAAAGTCAATCTACTACACAGAAGGTTAAAATTTCTTTCGTTATCGGAATTGACTAGATAAATCACTCTACCAACTAGGAACACCCAATGATTATACTAAGCAACTCAAAGAATACCAATACACTATTATAAGTGTCAATTGTCGAGATTTCCTTTGGCTGATAAAGTATTATTGATTTTTTAGCTGTGTCAAGATAGGTTTTAAAAAGTAAGTCACCGTATATTTAGTAGTAATACATTATCTGTGATGTAGAAATTCGATGCCCACACTCTAATAAATATTGTTAATAAAGTGTTTTTAACTAGGGTTCTAATCTTTAGTTCCGTAGTTAAGTTATTCAGAGAAGTACGCACATATCTTTGTTTCCAAGTTGTATACAAGTTTTGAGGACACTCATTATTCCTTAGAATAATAAAAACTAGCAGTGGTTATAGAATTTTTTCATCGTGATCGATTATTATTTGTGAAGTACTGGTTAGGCTTCAACTTTGATTTTGTTCAATGGAAAAAGTAACATACAACTGAAAGATCTTCCATCAGTCAAATGGTAGATAAAAGTAGTATTACATTATTAAAACCTAACAGTTATGCACATCTTGATGTATATTTAGTTCAAAATCTAAAATGCCAGGTCCAGAAGAACTAAATAGTAGATAAAGCCTTATTGTAACATACTTAAAGCACGTTACGTATCGATAAATTAGTTCGCCCTATGAGGTTTTGTTTTCAGCTCAAGTGATGGTCAAACTCATCGGTGATAGATAATAGCCCTTGTTTCATAAAGCTCTTAACTTTATTGTAGAATGTATATATGATTGACATCCCCATCCTATTTGCTTTAGTATCCTACATCTGAATTATTTGGGATAGTTGCTTAATCAATTTTTTTCTACACTTAGTTCCTTCAAAGTAGTAATTTGTTTATTTATTTTATGTTTCGTGTTAATTTTTGCTATGCTGTCTCTGACGTAATGGTTTCATTTATGTCCAATTTTAAAGTTCAAGCTCTCACAGATGAATTCTCAAGCAATGGTGATAGTCCAGAAGAATCTGGAATTGAAAGGAAATCTACCAAGGATAAAACAGACCGAGACTTTGATGGTACGCTAAATTAAATATAATTTTGTATATGCGTTTGTGCTACTTAATTAGTAAATAAGTAGCAAAAATTATGGTTGAGATTTCCGAAGAGTCGTTATTTATCTCCATAATGTAATAAGAAGACGAAGATTATCAGAACTATGTGATGATGATGATCATATTAGCGCAATACATTTCGAACAATCTGATGGTCGCAGAAACAAATAGAATCAAGTGACCCAATAAGTGTAGAGGATAAACATCCATCATGCTCTATTGCTAAACATACAATCGAAACAGGCCATAAGATTGATCTTAACTAGGCTTTTGTGGTGTTGTACAAAAGTGTAAAAGGGAGTATACTAAGGTTTATTGAATCTTTAGCCATACGAAAATTTAAACCCCCTTTATGTATTCAAAAACAGTCTGTTCTCATCTTAAACCTAACCTGGTAATATTGATTTATTATCCAGAGTGATTAGGTTTCAAACTGTGTTTACATCATTATTCTTACTCTTATTGTTATCCTTGTCTTATCTTACCCCACTTTCAGTCTAGTTGACCTTTTATTGTTTTACATATAAATGTTCTTATCAAGTATTTATGTGGTCAGATTGTTCGAAATGTATTGCGCTAACATATCATCACATAGTTCTGATCATCTTTGTCTTCTTATTACACTATCGAAATTTATCAAAGGGACTGATTGCTTTAAGTTTTTCATTTCATCAATGTTTGATTTACATTTATTACGACTACATTAGATATTTTGGAGTTGATCTACCCATCATAATATATCTAGTTTGTTGTGTGTTAACTGACAGAAGAATTTTTTTGTTTTCAATCTTGTCAACAGATTATGTACGAGTCTATGATGGCTGGGGTCGCTTTCGTAAGAAACAGTGCCGATACCTCAGTCTTGGTCGTAGTGTATCTGTGCTCAAAGTGATTGAACTTTCCTTGAAAGCCTTTCAGTTACCTCCGGATGAAGCAAGAGATTACTATCTCGTAGAGGTGAATGAAAAAGGTAGGACTAATTAACACCTATATATATTTGTGTATATTTTACATTCTATTTTGTGAAAATAATTCCATTTATTTTCAGAACAAAAGCATAAATTCACCTATTTAGAAACTTTATTTAAATAATATTTTATTTATTTATTTGAACGCATAAATGTTGGTACAATCGGGCACCGAATACATATGCGCCACACAAGTCATTTGATTTGTGTGTGGGTTGTGAGACTGCCTAGGTTCCCAGACCAAAGAAGGTGGTTTTCTTAGGGGGTCACAACCGGAGCCTTCGGCGTAAAAGTCTAATCCATAAGACAGTGGAGCAACGTCAGGAGATGCAGTCCCATGGTAGCCGGTAACCTTTAAGTATCTTTAATGCTAGTTTGTTTATTGAAATTCAAAAAATTTAGTATTTCTCGAATTTGTAGGAAAACATTCAATGATTTTATCTTTTTACGTGAACTTTCGAGAACCTTACTTTCAAACTACTTGCTTACTTACTTAGGCTTGTTGCCCCCAACAGATCATAGGCCACCGACCATCACTCTTCAACCCACTCTGTCCTGGGCCTTCCTTTCTAGTTCTATCCAATTGTTGTTCACTCTTCTCATGTCTGTCTCTATTTCTTGGTGTAATGTATTCTTTGGTCTTCCTGATATGATGAACTACATAAATTCTTAATGTATACCGTCGTGATCGTGAAATGAAGACATCTCATAGATCGCAAACTTATATTTCTAATAGAAGTTCATTTGTCCTTTTTATTTACGAATGGCCTACGAGGTCACAATATATAGAAACCAGATATTATAAACCCTTATCCTCAAACTCTACTTTATTTGTGCCTCTGTACAGCACAATGGTAATGAAGTAATTAAAAACAGTTATTCACTAAATTACTTTCTTTGTTTTGAGGATTTCTAAACTATTAGTAAATATCCTGGAGTTCAAATTGCACATCGATGATCTATGGCTTGGTGGTCTAGACGTTGAGAGTTCGCATATGAGACCGAAGGTCTTCGGTTCGATTTAATGTGGTTGGTTCATGGATGCTCACTGCAAAGATGTTCCATACCAGAATACTACGACCCTTCATTGTCTACAGGTATTCAATGGTTGTCTAACTTAGATTAGTTCATGATTTTATTTGTATATCCTTAAATTTGTTCTTATTGTAAATTACACATTGAAAGAAGGGTCTCAGAAATAAACTAAACAACCAGTACAGTTAACAAAGTTCTGTTGGCATAAACCCAACAATTTTTCTGTTTATTAAATTTTTTACATGTTGATGAAATTAATGGATGATTTTCGATTTTATTTACTTGTTAACTACACATTATTATTATTATTATTATTATTATTATTATTATTATTATTATTACCTAACTCAGATGGAAGTGAGCACAGATTGCATAGCTCTGGATGTTTTAAATCTCAACTACAGTTTGAAACTCGAAGGCCACAGATTATAATACGTTCTCGTGATCGTAATCAAGATCGTGAATATATTCAAACATTTCCTGGAACATTAGAGTTAGTTTGTTATTCATTATATAAATACCTAATTATATTTTTATTATTCAATAATACTCACTTTATATGACACTGAGACCATAATAATCACAAATTAACTGATTCCAAATAGTGGTTGACTTTTCTACAACAGCTTGTTTCAGTGTCAGGTGACTCTTCATCGAACGTGTTCTAAAATGTAGTTTTGTTTTCGTTAGAGAAGTCTCCAAATCATACCCGTCTTATTTAATGTTAATATGATAATTGATGATATAGAACTTGACTTGATTGTATGAGTAAACTGAGAACAGTTTGAATGACCCAACATTTTCAACTCAACGCAAATGACTTACTCAAGAGGCAGAAGGCGAGAATATCACACAATAAAATACATTGCATACTTCACACATACGTGCGTTCCACTCCTACAATCTAATCAAACACATTAAGCATAAAATTATTTGAGTAATACTAAAATAACTTGACCAGAGTGAACAAATGAAAACAACGGAGAAGGATTGTTCAAGATAGGGTTATATGGAGAATGCTGGTGGGCGGCCTTTGCTTCTCCATGAGGGGTAACAGGAGTAAGTAAGAGTCCGTTCCTTCTGTTATACATCACTTTTTAAAAATGATTTCAAAGGATCCTATAAATGGATGAAAAAAGTTTTCAGTACTTATTGCTTTTCAATAAGTATCCGGTTAAAATCAGTTTGATCGAGAAAAAGATGGGAAGTAGATGAATGTGCGTCACTGTGATGATGAACCATAACACTCTAATTCTCCAGCCACCAATCGCGGCTACAGCATGAACCCTAAACAAGTAGTATGTATCTATCAACATGACCCAAAGGAACAGTCAAGGATATGAAGAACTGATGCTGTCTTGATTTGGACGTCCCTAACTTTTTCCTAACTTACTCCTGTACTCTTGAACATTACCCATAGAATTAGGCGGTTGTTTTAGCTTGTACTCTTTATATTAAAACGGCAATTGCATTTTTGAATAAAAAAATAACTTCACCGTTTCACTTGGAAAACTAATTCGAGCTCCGAATCGTAGGTAATCAACAGATGACCATAAACACATATCTTATTACAAATTTAGCGGATTTCTGGAAATTGTATTATTTTCAAGGTTAAATTTATGAGTCACCGTAAGCCAAATCACCATTGAAAACCTGGAAGCACTCGACTGCCGTTTCGTTCTAGTATGGGACTCCTCAGCAATGCGCATACACGATCCCGCGTGCGAGACTCGAAACCCGGACCTTCTGTCTCGAGCACAAACGCTTAACCTCCAGAGTGGTGAATCGGGACTCAACGGTGTTAATGTCCAATTTCGATCAATCTCTGATCTTGTGCAACCCTTCACCTAAGGTGGATAAGTGCCTCACACCCGACACGGATTGAACTTTACTGGTCACGGCTTCTCACTAGAACTCCAGGAAATCCATCTTGAAGTTAGTCACTAGTTAGTACATGATTATTAGCAATTTAGGAGATTTGTGGAGATTGTAATATTTTTAAAGTTAAATTCACGAGTCAATCAAAGCTAGACCACCATTGAAAATGGCCGTCCAGTGCTTGCAGGTTTTCACTAGTGATTGACTCATGAATTCAACTTTGAAAAAAGCATATCTAATTGTTGATTGTTAATTAATTAATAAGCTTTTAAAACTTATTTTATACAAGAAGGAAACACATTTCAGTCAAGAAAGACTAAACAATTTTTTTTACTATTCGGTCACTAAAGCACATGTGTTTAGTAACGAATACCACCAATCATAATAAAAGTCTCTTTACTTAGATCAAATTACATAACATAAATTTCATATGTAATCTAGTGAACACACTGATGATGTATAGTGATGACTGAATATTAAACAATATGATATTGGTTGTTTTTAATATGACTTACAGTTTTGTTTTGTTTTCATGAACTGAGTGATACATTTTTTAAGCAAAGATGGATAGTGGCTACCAGTGGAATCCAGGACGCGCGTTTTGCCCTATTTGTGACTCGTCAGCCAGATGTACCCGCATCCCAGAGTTGATGTCCACTCCGGAACTCGAACCCAGTACCTTTCGCCTCAGACGCCATCGCGTTATCCATCTAGCTACTGTGTCTTGGCAGCCACCTACTTGTGCTATGGGGTGAAGTTTAAATTCACTTCTTATTGTTTTACTTGTATCTTCCGACTGTTATTTAGGACTGCAATTGATCAGTCTCATGTTGGCATATGGGATGCAGGTACATCCAGATGACGAGTCCCAAATAGGATGAAACGCGCGACAAACTGGATTCCACTGCTAGCCACTACCCATCTTTGTTTAAAAAGCTTGTGACTTAAGGCAATATCGAGGCAATCCGCAGAGGATGCGTATATGCCAACATGAGAGTGATCTATTGTAGTCCTAATTAACAATGGGAAGATGCAGGTTAAACAACACCAAGTGAATTTGAGTGATAAATATTGAATGTTCAATATTGAACAAACAATGTATACTACATCGTTTTGTCAATATTATACTCAATGATCACTCTATTTATTAGAATTTCTGTTTATTAATTTATATACCTATTTTTTCTTCCGATAGTCAATTCACAGATGTTGAGTTGTTACCAATACAAATCTCAGTGACACGTGATACCACAGTTCATGATGTTATTTTACAAGCACAGAAACGATTTGGACTCGAGGTAAGAAAACTCACTATTTAGTAACATAATAAGGTAAAGAAAAAAAGATGTTTGTTTATGATATAACCAAACTATTTGTCTGCAAATGCTTTATTTATTAAAAAGGAATACCATATTGGTGACGACTCTGTCTGAGAAACTCTGGTTCACTTCTCTCACCCTTTCTATTCTCTGTTAGAGTCAAAATCCTCCCAAACACATAAAAAAAGGTTTATTTGGTAACTAATAGTCCAACTTATGTGGATTTATAGATGGTCTAAATGGTTCAAATAGTGAACGTGTAAGTGATCGAAACTGGTTGACAGTACAAAGTTAGTATATCAAGCAGTACTTGACAGCAATCAGAAATAAACCTATGTTTAGTACTACAGGGTACATGTAAGCAAAATGTAACTGTTATCTTTGGAAAATCCATTCTTCCTATGAGATTGAAATCAACACTATCAAATATCACAGCCTAATATATATAACCAGTTGTCTATTCGGGCAACGAGAATGGCTTTGTGTTAAGTGGTTCTTATCAGTAATAGTCTAAATGTTGATTGTTCGCCTTGTTTATTATTGGTATTACAAGATTCTCTATCTATTCCCTCTAATCATCCAGCATTGAATGATAATAGTTGTGCTTAAGAAAAAAATCAGTGATTCGATCATTTTTTGTTTGTTTGTTTGTTTCTAAGATTAAACCATCATTCTCTCATGCCGAATATTTCATAATTGATTTATAATATTAATGTAATGAAGAATAAAAAGTATTGTTAACAGTTAATCAATACGAATTTCCGTTCAGTTCACTTACTTATAACCATGACATAAAATATCTAACTACAAGGGTTAAATTATTTCACTCCAAATAACTCCACCATTATAAGCAGAGATGTATTATGGCTAGCCGTGGAATCCAGGAAGCCCATTTCATTCTATTTCCGACTCGTCAGATGGATCAACCTATATCCCAGAATTGATGATCACTTCAGAACTCAAACGCAGTAACGTCCGACTAAAATGTTACCACATTATCCACGTAGCCACTGAGTTCAGATAGTGAATAGCTTATGCAAGATGAATTACAACAAATAATTATCACACTAAATTCAGTCCAAAGTATTACAACGTCACTTAAAACCACCTTTATTCTGCCATAAATGTCCATGCTGCACAAGCTAGCGGCTATCTGGAATCAGTAGCTAAGTGGATAATGTGGTGGCATTTGAATCTAATGTTAATGCATTTGAGTTCCGAAGTAAATATCAACTCTATGATATAGGTTCATCCATCTGAAAAGTCCAAAATAGAATGAAATGGGCTTCCTGGATTCAACTTTGAGATGTAAGTGCACTCAACTGACGAAACCCAAACAGGACGAAACACTCGTCCTTGATTCCACTGCTAGCCACCATCATCTCCGCTTATAATTCCTGTGACTGAAGGCAATTTGCACAGAACTGACATATGGCCAATAAGACACCGATTAACTGCAGTCCTAAAAATCAGATTCAAACAATCAATACAAAATGAATTAAATTTACCATTGTTTTAATGTAGGATTCAATTTATTCAATTCAAAATTTTGCTTTCTTCTAATATATCTTAATGATATTAATACATGAAGAAAAATAACTGTTGTACACGTCTATGTTCAAGTATTCTTTCTTCTTTCCATTTTAAATAATTTCCTAGACTTCAATTTCATTTTTTATCTCTGTTCAAGTACCTTAAAAAAAACAAAGAAATTAGTTAGCAGTATAGGGGTTGTGGAGATTGTTAAGTTTTGATTGAGATTATGAACCGATTGATGTTAGACCACCATTGAAAACCTAGAAGCACTGGACGGCCGTTCCGTCTTATTGTGGACTCCTCAGCAGACATTGATACCATTAGATGCAGGCTCAGTGGTCCAATAGATTAAGCGTTCGCGCGCGAGACTGAAAACCCTGGGTTCGAATCGCGCGAGCGGGACAGTGGGTGCGCACTGCTGAGGAGTCCCACAACAGAACGAAACGGCCTTCCAGTGCCTCCAGGTTCTCAATGGTGGTCTAACATCAATCGGTTCATGATCTCATCAAAGGAAATTAGTTTTATATCTTTAAATGAAATATCATAATCATTCACAAGATATATATATATATATTCTCAATTTATTTATTTTAGCATTTAGATTCTGGTAGATTTCAACTAGTTGAAACAAATCTTGATCGTGGACTTGTTGAACGTGTAATGTCATCAGGTGAACGATTGTGGACAATATTAGAACGTGTTAAACGTGAATCTGTTCGTGCATTACGTTTAACACGTTTTTATTTACAACCAATTGAAGAATCTAAAGGTCCTGTTGTTACATTATTTGTTGGAAATTTAAAAAAAGGTTTAAGTCAACGTTTATACGAACGTATTCTACTTGAACGACTTGGTATAGAGAATAAATGGGATTTTATTGGTGAGTTCTATTTAATTTAGATTTTTGATACTTATTGGCAACAGTTAGTAAAATATTGTAGTATAACTAATGAATTAATCTTAGTTCAAACAATCTTTGAAAATCAGAAAACACTGCAAATCTGTGTCACCTTAGTTTAGCACTCCTAAGTAATGCGTATCTAATAGCCCGTTGGTGATCAATCAGTCAGTCAGTCAGTAACAGCGTAGAACCCTGTACGTACGTACATCAATTCAAGTTGCCATACCACATTAGCACAGAGATACAATTGTCGATTCAAATCCCATAGTAGTAGAGGTAGTAAAAATATAAGCAGTAATCGGGATGGCCTGTCAAAATCAATGAGTGTACAAAATATACGTATGCGGAAATCTATTCTCGTATTTGACTTATTTAATTCTGTTATACACTAACGCGAGTTAAGTTGATGATTATATACAACGATAGGCAACATGTGTACTTCAATAACAATCATACAATCCAACCGGAGTTAGATATCGGGCCAACAAAAAGACACGATTCACAAAATAAGATGAATTCAGTGTGTATTTAGTTACATTTCGAAAGATTAAAAGCATCAGAAAGTAGCATTCAATGTATTTTAAAGTTAACAGTTGCGGAGTCAAAGATATATCAATACAGGATTTTTAGTGAAATATTTCTGGAATGTACTTCGATAATGATTATTTAAGTAAATCTCGATATATAGATTCACGAGGATCCTTACTTACTTACTTTCGCCTGTTACTCCTAATGGAGCACAGGCCGCCGACCAGCATTCTCCAACTCACTCTGTCGTCGGCCTTCTCTTCTAGTTCTATCCAATTCTTGTTCATTTCTCTCATGTCTATTTCCATTCCCCGGCGTAATGTGTTCTTTGGTCTCCCTCTTCTCTTTTGGCCTTGAGGATGCCATGTGAGGGCTTGTCTTGTGACGCACTTGGGTGCTTTCCTCAATGTGTGTCCTATCCACTTCCAGCGCTTCCTCGTGGTTTCTTCCTCCGCTGAGATCTGGTTTGTACTCTCCCACAGTTGATTGTTGCTAATAGTGTCTGGCCAACGGATCCGAAGTATTTTATGTAGACGACTGTTAATAAACACCTGTATCTTCCGGATGATGGCTTTCGTAGTTCTCTAGGGTTTCCGCCCCATACAGTAGAATTGTCTTGACATTTGTATTGAAAATCCTGACCTTGGTGTTGGTTGACAGTTTTGAGTTCCAGATGTTCTTCAGTCGTAAATATGCTGCTCTTGCTTTGCCTATCCGCGCCTTCACATCTGCATCAGATCCATCCTGCTCATCAATGATGCTACCCAAATATGTAAAGGTTTTTACATCTTCGTCAATTGTAATTGGATTGATGCATCTTGTGTTGTATCGGAGAATTTTATTTTTCCCTTTGTGTATATTGAGACCTAATACTGTTGAGGCTGCTGCTACACTGATCGTTTTCTCCTGCATTTATTGTTGTGTGTGCGATAGAAGAGTCAGATCATCTGCGAAGTCTAGATCATCCAACTGCATCTTAGATGTCCATTGTATCCCGCGCTTCCCTTCAGACGTTGACGTCTTCATGATCCAGTCGATCACCAGTAGAAAGAGAAAGGGTGAGAGTAAGCAACCTTGCCTGACACCAGTCTTTACTTTGAACGACTTTGTCAACTGTCCTCCATGCACGATTTTGCAGTGTAATCCATCATATGAACTCTGTATGATATTGACCATCTTCTGAGGCACGCCATAGTATCGAAGAAGTTTCCATGGTGTTGTTCTGTCCACACTATCAAATGCCTTTTCGTAGTCAATGAAGTTGATGTAGAGTGATGAATTCCATTCAATTGATTGTTCCACAATGATCCGTAGAGTTGCGATTTGGTCTGTACACGATCTATCTTTACGGAATCCTGCCTGTTGGTCTCGAAGTTGGGCGTCTACGGAGTCCTTCATCCTGTTTAACAATACCCTGTTGAAGACTTTTCCCGGTATTGAGAGAAGAGTGATGCCCCTGTAGTTATCACACTTGCTGAGATCGTCTTTCTTTGGTATTTTGATCAGAAGTCCTTCTTTCCAGTCTGTTGGTACTTGTTCTTCATCCCAAATCTTATTGAAGAAAATGTGGAGTATCCTTGCAGTTGCCGCTACGTCTGCTTTTAGTGCCTCTGCTGGAATGTTGTCTGGTCCTGCTGCTTTGCCTGATGGCCATGCTGATTTCTTCAATTGTTGGTGGGCCAACATTGATTGGGAGGTCCGTGGGTGCTGCTTCGATATTGGATGGGTTCAATGGGGCTAGTCGATTCAAGAGTTCTTTGAAGTGTTCTACCCACCTGTTTCGTTGTTCTTCAATATTGGTGATTACCTTGCCTTCCTTGCTTTTCACTGGTCGTTCTGGTTTGCGGCGATTTCCAGAGAGTTTCTTTGTCGTGTCATACAATTGTCTCATGTTTCCTTCTCTTGCAGCCTTTTCCGCCGTCGTTGCTAAATCTTTCACATATTTACGTTTGTCGGTTCTGATGCTCCTCTTCACTTGTTTGTTTACTTCTGTGTATTCAGCTTGTGCCTTGGCTTTTTCTGCTCTTGTTCGGCTGGTATTGATTGCTGCTTTCTTGTTCCTCCTTTCTTGAATCTTATCCAATGTATCAACAGTGATCCATTCCTTGTGATGGTGCTTCCTGTGGCCCAGGACCTCATGACACGTTGAAGTGATTGCCTCTTTGATCCCCTTCCAGTTGCTCTCCACAGTAGTTCCAGCCTATTGTAGAATTGATTTTTAGCGTCTTCATTGTAGTCGTTGGTAGGCGCATAGCATTGGATGATGTTCATTGAAATGCCCTCTTTCTTTGTTTTGAAGGAGGCTTTGATGATCCTTGGTTCATGAGATTCCCATCCTATAAGTGCGTTTTGTGCTCGTTTGGACAGCATCAATGCAACTCCTTGTGTATGTGGAGCATTTTCTTCTTCATGGCCGGAGTATAACAGAAGCTCTCCTGAAGTTAGTCGTTGTTGTCCAACTTGCGTCCAGTGTGTTTCACTGATCCCAAGCACCTCTAGGTTGTAACTTCTCATTTCTGTAGCGATTCGGAAGGCTCTCCCGGTGTCACACATCGTACGAACATTCCATGTACCTAAATAAATGGTTGCTCTGGCTGTCAGAAGGGGCATCGGCCTCGTAACTTCCGAAGGAATTCGGCTTTCATCATGAGGTGTCATAATTCTTCTAAATGAAGACCTTCTGACTCCCAAGGCAGAGTTTAAAAGGTTTGAATAATTTTTTCTGGTAAGCGTTTTTTTAGCGAGTTAGTTTTCTACGAGATGGAGTCGCTAACCCCATCCTCAACCCTCCTCCTTTATCCGGGCTTGGGACCGGCATTAGCCCCCGGAGGGACTCCAGGCGGAGTTCACGAGGATCCTAGTAACACAAAATCAATTCACGGTATAAAACTTAAATGAAAATCATCCACGTACTTTACTACTTATTTCTCAAATAAAAAAACATATATGGATAGTTCTTTTCTAGTAGAATTGAAATGATCACCAATTATATTGGGATGTTGACTACTAAGTCATAACATTTAGTGATAAAGATTCGCATTATGTAATTTTGAACAAAATAATTCTATGAGAACGGCATTATTTTCAATTAATTACTTAATAATGAATTCATATGCATATACGAGAAACATGAATCAAATTAGCTTACGATTCAATGATAACGTTGGAGGAAGGATCACGTAATAAATAATGATACATGTAGTAATAACTAAAAGAATACTAAACAGTATAATAACATAAACATATATACTGACATAGGAAATATACTTAGTGTTGAATAAATAAATTTATTAAAATAATTATCATTAAAAATTACACAATGAGAAATGTCTATGAATAATTAGTTTAAATATATAAGTAGTAAGGAAAGATTTAAGAAAAAAATTGAATGGTAAGTATACAATAGGTCTTATCCGGCTTAGAAATTGATGGAAATTTCACGAATTCCTTTTGAATTTAGAGATAAGGATTGTTAGTTCAAATTCATCTAGCTTCTGATATACATAGGAGATGAGGTTAAACCTTATTAGTTTGATTACCTTTGATTCCATGGTAGTTTCAAGATTAGATAGAAAGAAATTGTCTTTCAACTTATTTATATGCTTGATCCACTAAGATAATTATTACAACCTTGTGATGGTAACAAGTTAGTTTACTACTATGAGACAGACTTTTGTAATATCGTGGCTAAATAAATTACTATGTGGACGATGACTGACTGCGCAGACTATTTCTTTCCCCATGAACAAATGCTAGAAAATGAGAAGATAATGATACAAGCTTATGTATCTGAAGATTTTCTAACTCAAAAAATACACAACATTAAGTACATAAACAGCCAAGCAACAACTCACAGTAATTAAAAAGATACACAGTTCACCAAGAAAACTAAAGCTCACGGTTAGGAGAGTAATGGAAATGTTTCGAGAAATAGATTACACAGTTTGTCATTCTACTTCATTTCTCTCGTTAGAGCAATTAAAAAAACCTTGAAAGTTTATAATAGAACGATTTAAATACTTTGCTCCAATCTACGACATGATCACCATTAATGAAGTTTGACAGAACAGTATTACGGATTGATCTTGTTAGATCAGTGTTATATTATCTATCGTTTAGTGGCTTCATTATCTCTGTATTAACAGAAAAGACAAGTAAATACTACAAACTAGTAAAGAACTAGAACAACACATATAAGCGAACAATTGTTTTCAATTAGATTGTCATCAGGCTTTGCTCTAATATAAAGCAATTAGTCCCTTTTATAAATTTCGATAGAGCAATGAGAAGACGGAGTTGATCTGAAAAATGTGATGTATTAGCGCTATATATTTTTCAGATCAACTCCGTCTTCTCATTGTTCTATCGAAATTTACTCTAATATACATGAATATTTATACGAAAATGTAAACCAATCAAGGCAATATGGGTCAATCATCACAATGAAATAGAATAAGTCTCTACACATAAAATAGGTAAAAGTACAAGTTGATAGTAGGAAGACAGGTGAACTGATAGTAGTAAGAATAATGAAATACGATCACAAAAGTCTTATCAATAGTTAAACGTCGGAAATAGAAGGTCAAACAAACGTGAGTAAATAGACTAGGAATAGTCAACACCAAAACATTAACATCATTACGTAATAAGATGTGTGTAAATAATTAGATAGTGAAGAATACAATGAGGCGGAAAATTACAAACAAATACTTGAGATGGTGGAGAAGATTTGTGGCTCAGGTGGATGATTTTGGTGGAGTTTTGTTCTCTGAGCTGGATGGTTTGGTCGTGGAGCTTTCATCGTTCTTCTGAACGACATCATCAGCACAAACTTCAGATAGAAGTGAAGTGTTTGAATTTCTCCATATGTGTCTCAAAGCTTGTTCAAACCCTTCACTTCTATCTGAAGTTTGTGCTGATGATGTCGTTCAGAAGAACGATGAAAGCTCCACGACCAAACCATCCAGATCAGAGAACAAAACTCCACCAAAACAAACAAATACTAGATGTGGAAATAAGGTTAATGATAGCACAAATAGAATAAAATAAATGATGATAATAATAAAATTTTTAAAAAACCCATCTGATATTAATCAACATATGCTCACTAGTGACTGGCTTCACGAGGTATATCCTGGAGTTCTAGTGAGAAGTAGTGACCAGTGGAGTTCAACCAGGTCTGTTGTGAGATAGTAACTCACTGAAAACAATGGTGAATGTGTCGCTCAATTTCGTGGATTTGTTGAAGTTAAACATTAACACCGTTGGATGCCGGCTCAGTGGTCTAGTGGTTAAGTGCTCCTGCGCGAAGCCAGTAGGTCCTGGGTTTGATCCCCGCAGGGGGCGAGGTCGTGGATGCGCACTGCTGAGGAGTCCTGCAATGGGACGAAACGGCCGTCCAGTGCCCCCAGGTTTTCCATGGTGGTCTAGCTTCAACTGACTCATGATCTTAAACATTGAAATTACTACAATCTCCACAAAAAAACCCATCTGATAAAAAATTGTTAGTCAAGTTATAACTGGTCATGGAAGGGATAGGGGGGTTACGTATTTCTTCTGTACACATAAATTGGGGTTATATGTACGAAGTCCTATGGCTTCAGCTATATGTAGGAGGCGGCAACGAACTCCGTTGAGAAATGATGGAGGTGTACGATAGATTACTCGAAATGATTTCGATTTATCTACAACATGACCGTTATCAATGAGATGTGCCAAGATAGAACTGTGAATTGTTTTTATCTTGCCCTTTATAAACCAAACTGGTAGATGTTCACTCATACGTTGGTTAAAGAACTGTCAAATGTCATATGGGACGAATAAATGTTCTGAATTTAAATTACGTTTAAAGAACGTAACCATGATTCCATGTAATTTGATTTAATCTAATCATCACATTATTATTAATTTCTATAACTGACATAAATAATCTATCTTCTTATTATTTCTTTAATTTTATTTATAGAAGTGATATATTATGATTTTGGCAGTTTAGTATTAGTTTATTTAAATGCAGAACGTGCTGATGAAGCATATCATTTATTAAAACAAAGTACATTTGAAGATCGTCCAATTTTAGTTATGATATTGCCTAGACTTAAACCAAGTAAATTACCAGATGATATTAAACCATTATTAGTATTAGTCAATGTTAAATCAGGTGGATGTCAAGTAAGTTAAAATTATTAGTTTATTCATTCATTCATTCATACATTCAAGAATTAAGTTTGTAATCATTTTGGTTTACAAATATTTAATATCTCTCTTCAGAAAGTACATTCCTGTTATAACTTGTCAATTGAATGCTGAATTATCAGTTTAGGGGTTGTAGAGATTGTTAAGTTTTTGATAGAGATCATGAACCGATTGATGTTAGACGACCATTGAAAACCTGGAATCACTGAACGGCCGTCTCGTCCTATTAAGGGACTCCTCAGCAGTGCGCATCCACGATCCCGCTCGCAGGATTCGAACGCAGTGCCTTCGGTCTCGCGCGCGAACGTTTAACCTACTGCACCACTGAGCCGGCATCCTATGGTGTTAATGTCTGAATTTTCTTGTCGTTTGAATGCTCCTTTTTATATTTGGTCGTCGGTGATTATTGTGTCAGAAACGCTTATCATTTATAATCGAAACGAGGGACCTCTGCAATTCCCACGACACGAAAGTAAGAACACAAAGACTGGTATATGTGATGATTTATTAACCCGAAAACATGACGACGACGGCTCTAGTCGAAAATACACTCATTTATATATTGATTCGTACACACATTATGAATATTAATTAGGATGATATCACTATATAAGAACAGTAAATAATTATGAAAATATATGTAATATGACTAGCCGTGGAATGCAGGAAGCCCATTTCATTCGACTCGTCAGATGGATCAACCTATATCCCAGAGTTGATGATCATTTCAGAACTCAAACGCAGTAACGTTCGATTCAAATGTTACCACATTATCCACGTAGCCACTGAGTTCAGATAGTGAATAGCTTATGCAAGATGAATTACAACAAATAATTATCACACTAAATTCAGTTCAAAGTATTACACCGTCATATAAAACCACTTTCTATCCCATCATGAATACCAAAGATAGATATTTCAATATCTTTTTTATTTTTTGAGAAGAAAAAAACTGTGCTCACTGACTTGTTACATTTTACCATGAAATTAATTGAGTCAAATATTTGTATCTTAATATTTGTAAAAAGAAGCGGTAATAAGTATTTTAGAAAAAAATATTAGTTCGTTGTGTAATAGAGCGTTGTCGGTCTTAACTCATAATTAGTAAATTCCTTAGTTTATGTCACGAAATGATCTTCGTCAGGCAACCACTAATAACCGGGGAACGCTGAAAAGCTGTCACGTCCTAGTATAAAACTGTTAAAAATTATGCTTCTATCGAGATCTTAAGATCGTGGGTCTAACTTTGATCACTCCTCGACACAAACTATGAAAAGTGTTTATTGTCACTTAGTATAATAAGCTATTCTCCTGGAATTTTTTCTTGAAAGGGTGCCGATTTAATCACTTCATTTCGAAAACTGTTAAATCCTCATCAAGTTTTCAATTTGGACTATGGTGGTCCCCTACCAGGTTTACATTGTTTTCGTCATTTAAAACAATTTAAAATACTTGTATGTGGTGGTGATGGTACAGTTGGATGGGCGCTTTCATGTTTAGATAACGTTGGTCAAGATGCTGCATGTCCTACACCACCAATGGCAATTCTACCACTGGGTACTGGTAATGACTTGGCACGAGTTTTACGTTGGGGTTCCGGTTATACTGGTGGTGAAGAACCTTTAACAATACTGAAGTAAGCGAAATACGACAAAAAAGTCTTTGGATTTTTTAAATGATATAGGGTTTAGTTTAGTAACATGTATGACTAAATGATAAATATTTATCTTGAATAGTTTTTACTTCTCTGCCAATATCTACTCTTTAATTAAAAGCTTTTTCTTATCTTGGCCAGCGAATCTCCAGAAACCACCTTAAAAACTATTGGTGTTTAGGTGGACTTGATATCGCTTGCTTGTATCTCCATTAAATTGAGTCTCTCAACTAGGGAAGCATCTATTCGTTGAATCCCTAAAACTTGGAAATAAAAAAGTTAACTACTTATTAGTAGTATGAAATATTATCCGGTTTTAGATGACTGACTCCGACCTGAGTAGCTGTTTATTAATTACTTGTTGTATCTATTCTATATAGGATTGATTCAGGTAAAATCATATTTATTGCTTTCATTATAAGTTTTCTTGAGTTATTTTATTAGAACCTCAGCCATGTTCATGTGATTTGACTGCTTCATTAGTGTTATTCATTTTATCAAGTGTGAGTTGTGGATATCGAATTAAGATATGTGTGACTGTGATCACTTTTGAAAATAGTCATTAGATTTGCAATGAATTATTCATCTACCAAACATTTTTCCCTTTGAAAATTACAATCAACCATCGAAAATGGTTGAAAATTAAATAAGTTAGTATTATTATTACTAATGACTTTAGTCAATATAAAATTCTCCGCACGAGGTATTACAACAAGTTTCTTTCACAATGACAAAAAGAAAGAAAAAAAGATCTGAATCTGTGCAACACTTTTACCTAGAAACATGTTTAAGAATACAAGTTATTGACTAGCTCGGCTCTAACAGCCTGTTCGTCACAGAGTATATTTGCTAGATTAGGTATTGTAGAGCTTTTATACCTTTGCCTGAATGCATAGATTCCAATGTTTTGACGTCTCCTTCTACAAGAAGATAAACGAGGTGAAATATGTGAATGAAGTGGATGGCTAGTATTTGAAAACACCTGTTAGGAGTTTGCAAGATTTTAGATGTCTGTCCACAACTATATTATTAATGACTCCAAAAGATTCACCGAACACCCTGCTAACTACCTTCGGCACTCTTCATAATACAGCGAATTCTTTACTCAAAAGCTCGGAAGAGGATAATGGAGAACAGTGAAGAATAATGGGTAATATGAAAGAGTCGACATATCGTAAGAGTAAATATCGTGTGATCCCGAAAGCATGCAGCCTGTTTATGTAGTAAGTCAGATGGTAAACTTTACACGATAACAATAAAACATGAGAAGACTAAGAGAGATTAAAGGAAAAACTTACTCCAAGTTCATTTTACCATGTCTCAGTTGACAAACTATCTTTTAATGCCCAGCTAAATATGCAAATATCCGACTGCTTTGATGAAAATAATAATAATGTAAATGGAACTAAACAAGAATTAACATACTTATTCATGTTTATCAATTGATAACAAAATCATTTACATTATAAAACCCATTTATCAGTCAGACAGTTATAAGCAGCTTAGAACTTAACACAAACATTCATGAGTTTTAAATGGTACACCATATGAGTGTAGTCAAATGAAATTATCAAGATAACTTTTTTTTGGAATAGTAGAGGTAGTTATATTATCATGTATGGTAACCAAAAGAATTTCCCCATTCATGAAATGTATGAATCTGTCACCAATTATCTTAACAGATTTCTATTTTTCTCAAAAATTACCCCCCCCTTACCTCATTCTATTTTTTTTGTCTTTCCGTTATTATTATTATTATTATTATTATTATTATTGTAAATAGAGATGTTGTTGAAGCAGAAAATATTCGCTTAGATCGTTGGACTGTTGTAATTAAACCAGATCAAGCTGAAAAAGATGCACAAAAGAAACAATTACAAATTGAAGCTAATTCATCAAATACAAATGAAGATTCTAGTCGTATATTTGTCATGAATAATTATTTCGGTTTAGGTATAGATGCTGATTTAAATTTAGATTTTCATATGGCACGTGAAGAGAATCCAGCAAAATTTAATAGCAGGTATAAGTCAAATTTATCTTTTTTTTTCTAAGTCGATTATATCATTTTATTATGATACATTAATAAATAGAGTTATCTAAATCTTCTGTATGGGGTTGTAAAATTGATGGATTTCATTAAAATCATGAACCGATGAATTTTAGATCATCATTGAAGACCTAAAAGCACTGAAGGGCCGTTTTGTCCTAATAGGGAACTTTTAAGCAGTGCGCACAGGATGCTGATCCAGGACCTTTGGTCTCGTGCGCAAACGCTTAACCCCAAGACCAATGAGATGGTATCCAACGATGTTAATGTAGATGAACAACCAATCTACATTGTTGCGCGATCGTCTTCCATTGTTTTCGGCAGATAACTTACACCCGACACGCATTCACTCCACTAGTTACGGCTTCTCGCTAGAACTCTATAAATTTCCTTTCGAAGCTTTCTGAGGTTTCACTATCAAGCAAAAGTCACTTAAACATTCCACAGACACAAGAATGATAGTTATAACACTAAGCTAACTGAATTCATCATATCTAGTCACTTGAATGAAAGTGACTAAATTGACTAACTTAATTAATAGAATTCAATCAGTACCAAACTACCAAATAATAACTACCATTTGTACTGAAAAATAAAATTGTAAATGGAGATGAGATCTGTTTTCCACATTGTATTCAACAGTTCACTTAATATTCGTTCACGTTTCTGTTCTAAACTGATGATCATTATACCACAAGGTGAACTTATATTAATCATTCTTATTCTATTTGAGAAGCAATGCTCAAGCATACCTGTTCATACATTCGCGATAGTAATAAAGATACAATGATTTAGATAAGTTGTTGTTGTTGTACGGATGACTCAATTCGTTAATGAGTTAACAAAATGACCTAACCGAATTTAATGTGAACCAACTCAATTGCACGTGAGTTGCTATAACGGCTTATGCTCCACAAACGGTAATAGGCATAAGTATATATATAGCATTTACTCAACGAAATGTATACAATTGTTTTGTGTTCTTATCAATATTTTGCTTACATCATTCCTTTTCTTCTTCCCTTTTTATTTCTCTTAACCCAAACTAATTATCAGAATTCATAATAAAAGTGTTTACTTAAAAATGGGTTTACGTAAAATGGTTAATCGTACAAAATGTAAAGATTTACATCAAAATATTATCGTTGAAGTAGATGGTCGTCAATTGGATTTACCACCATTAGAAGGTGTAATTATTTTAAATATTTTATCATGGGGTGCTGGTGCAAATCCATGGGGTGTTGAAAAAGATGATGCATTTACAACTCCAACACATTTTGATGGTCAACTTGAAATTGTTGGTGTTACTGGTGTGGTACATATGGGACAAATATTTTCTGGTTTACGGACAGGTATCCGTTTAGCACAAGGTGGTCATGTAAGAGTATTTATTTTCATCTTATATATTTGCATGTAAATTGTTTATCATATCAAAGTTTTATCTGCACAATTTATTATAGGCTTATTCACATATAATGAGTATATTGTACTGTATGAATAGGTAGCTGATGAAAGATTAAGATGATTCGATTTATTTATTGAATTAATCTATATAAAGTATTATCAAGACTATTTCAGTGCTCCTTAATTTTCAATAATTTTTCTATCTAAATAATAAAACTTGGCGAGTACCACCTATAAAAGTCTTTCGCTTTACAATAATACCTACTAGTAATAGAAAAACCTTCGTATTTCTGTTAAAACTTGTGCTCTGTGTCCTTATTAATATATAACGTAATGATAACGCTAATTAGAGAACAGTAATTTATCGACCGAACCAATGACGCATAAAGCCCGTACGAGCAATCCATAGTCTTTATCGGTCCTGCTTCCTGCCTAGCCCCGCCTGTGAAGTCCAGAACATCAATCTCAACCTCTGCGATATGAAGCATGTATTCCAAACATACTGGGTTTATATACCAACCAAACAGACCACATCGTACCATAACATAGGAAACAACATCTGTACAAGATTTAGCCAAATGTGGCCGTGAATGTGGGAGGTAGTTATTAATAGACAGGGAATAATTCAAGAATGGAAAATTTTAGAATAACAGTTCATAAGTTAAAATAAAGCTTATGATCAGAGGAACATGAATGTGAATGGTTTAGTTAATTAACAATTATACGATAAAAATAAACGCATAGTGTCGATCAATAAATGGATTCCAAAAGTTACCATCCATTATTCTCATCGGGATATAACAATTTCTGAGTAAAAAGTAGTTTGATTGTTGATCGTAGATCAAACCTGAGCTTTCTTTGCTTCTTACTATTTATTTATAAATGTAAAGTAATTATTAAAATTGATTAGTTGTGTAAATAGCCAATCGAGATTCTAGGAAGAATTGGTTACGTAATCCTGGACTAACTTAAAACATCCAATTAATGTTTTTTTAATCGTCAATAGTAATCAACATATTCACAATGAACTAATCTCTACAACTATCCTCAACTAGATAATGAATCTTTTGAAAACATGATAACTTTGATCTTTATTTATCATTATGTTTTACAGATAAGAATTACAGTGAAATGTGATATTCCAGTACAAGTTGATGGTGAACCATGGATTCAACCACCTGGTCAAATTATAGTTTTACGTTCAGCCTTAAAAGTAAACAAAATACCTTTTTTTTGTTTTAATTATTAAAAAGAATTATTATTAAAAAGAAATTAACTAGACATATATTCTTTATGTGCATCAGTTTATTGTCAATTATTTTGGTGGAGTTTTGTTCTCTGAGCTGGATGGTTTGGTCGTGAAGCTTTCATCGTTCTTCTGGACGACATCATCAGTACAAACTTCACATAGAAGTGAAGTGTTCGAATTTCTTCATATGTGTTTCACAGCTTGTTCTGTGCACCTCGATGTTGATTGCTTCTTGTTGACCTTAAATTTATCATTGTTTACTTCTTTGTTTTGGTTGTGTCTCCCATTGGTTTGATTTTTGTTCCTATAATTATGCATGATTTTCTTGATTGGTTGATAAATTGGATTGATTTCAATATGTTTGTTGATTGCTGATTGACCTGAGTACCAGGCTTCTAAAAATTCTCTGGTGTTTCTGGGATTTCCTCTGTTTAAGATTCCCACATTTTTCCAATCGAATGAGTGTCCGTAGTTATCCACGTGTATTGATATAAGTAAAGAGATATCATGGTGTTTGACTGCTAATTGATGTTCATGTAAGCGTAGGTGGAGGGGGCGTCCGCTTTGTCCGATGTAGTGTTTTTCGCAGTTGGTACAATCAATTTTGTAGATGATGTTTGATTTGTCTTGCTTTGTTATTTCATCTTTTGGTTTGCATAGGATTGATTGTAATGATTTTGTTGGTTTGTGTGCCACACCTATCCCGAAGGTTTTCAGCAGTCTCGTTGTGGTTTCTGATATTCCTTGTATGTACGGTAGGGTGATCCTTTTGTTGATTTTTGTGCTTGATTTGGGTTCTGATGCTGCATGCCGTTGGTGCTTTTTGATGAAGTTGATTGGGTAGCCGTTCTTTTGAAATATGTCCTTCAGGTGTTTCTCTTCATTTTTTCGTGCTGCCAGTGTGCTGCAGTGTGTCCTCGCCCTCTTGAACAATGTGTGTACGCAGTTGATTTTGTGCTCTTGGGTTGTTGCTGTTGTAGTTGAGAATTTGATCTGTATGGGTCGGTTTCCTGTATACTTGAGTTTCCAGTTTTCCTGTGTCAGTTCTCCACCATCTCATTGTCAATTAGATCGTACATTTTTCACTATTACAGTTTGATTTCAGCAATTTTAATTTAAATAATATCCCGCCAATGTTTCGTCCAGTAGACTTACCTAGACTTCCTCAGTGTAATAATCAAAATCATCAAATGTTTATCTTATCCTGACTTTAGATAAATTATATGTGATAAGACAGTTATCACTGGTGACATTAGATGTTTAGCGAGCTACATTTTATGATTTATTAAATTTATAAATGTGAACAGTATGTACATATATTATTGTATTATTTGAAAACTTTTGTTAACCTACGATGATGATAATCTGATTAACAGTATTATACTTTTATTTCAAGGCAACTATGTTGAAAAAACGCAAACGACGTAAAGTGAATCGTCGTCATACTGAACCTGGCTTAGGTGGATCTGGCAGTTCGAATACAACTAGCTCAAATGTTATACATGGTAGTACAGAAGATCCATTAAGTAGTGCTGTATTTGGTGCTAGTGGACCTCCTCCACCTGAAAGTGTAAATTCTCTCGATTGTGGAAATACTACTACTATTAAACAACTTGAATTAGATATTGCAAAAGTTGAATTAGAAGAAGGAAATTTAAATGATGCTTTCTGTTCAAATGATACAATCAAAACAGATGATTCATATCCTAGACTGTATAGACCAGGACGACCAGTATATGCTAAAAGAAGAGGACGTCGTCTACCAAAACCTGTATTAGTTGCAGTACCATCAGCTCCATCAGAAACTTGTAGATCACCGAGAGAGATACTTGATAATGATGAGTTCGATGAAACATCGGCCTTATGTCTTTCTAAATCAACACGATTGAAACAACATGTACCAACTAATATGCATTCAACATCAGATCAACAATCTCCTATCATACAAAGCATAAAAAACTCTACACCTTCAGCTTCAATGAGTCAATTAAGTTCAACAACTAGTAAAAAGGAAATAGACTGATGATTATACCAAAACTGGTCACAGTTTTTTTGTTGCTTTTGGCATTTTTATAGTTGATTTCCGTAAGTTCTTTTTCATTTAAACTTCTGTTAATTGATAACCGTGTATGAGTATGTGATTAAACATTTTTTTGACTGAATTAATAAACCACAATGAACTGTTTGTATAATATAAGATTGAAGATAATCTAAATTATTTAATGTATTCATGTAATCCATTTTCAATAATCTGATCACTCATGTAGGGCTAGATCATGAAGACGTCAGCATCTGTAAAGAAGCACGGTATACAAAGGAAATCTAGAATGCAGTTAGATGATCTAGACTTCGCTGATGATTTGGCTTTTCTATAGCAAACGCAACAACAAATGCAGGAGAAGGCAACCAATGTAGCAGCAGCCTCAACAGTATTAGGTCTCAATATACACAAAGGAAAAGCAAGACTCTCCGATACAACAGAAGATGCACCAATCCAATTACAATTGACGAAGATGTAAAAACCTTTACATATTTGGGTAGCATCATTGATGAGCAGGATGGATCTGATGCAGATGTGAAGGCGCGGATCGGAAAAGCAAGAGCAGCATATTTACGACTGAAGAACATCTGGAACTCAAAGCAACTGTCAACCAACACCAAGGTCAGGATTTTCAATACAAATGTCAAGACAATTCTACTGTATGGGGCGGAAACCCTAGAGAACTACGAAAGCCATCATCCGGAAGATACAGGTGTTTATTAACAGTCGTCTACATAAAATACTTCGGATCCGTTGGCCAGACACTGTCAGCAACAACCTACTATGGGAAAGAACAAACCAGATCCCAGTGGAGGAAGAAATCAGGAAGAAGCACTGGAAGTGGATAGGATACACACTGAGGAAAGCACCCAACCGAATCACAAGACAAGACCTCACATGGAATCGTCAAGGCCAAAGGAGGAGAAAAGGGAGACTAAAGAACACATTACGTCGGGGAATGGAGATAGACATGAGAGAAATGAACAAGAATTGGATGGAACTACAAAAGAAGGCCCAGGACAGAGTGAGTTGGAGAATTCTGGTTGGCGGCCCATGCTCCATTAGGAGTAGCAGGCGTAAGTAATTAAGTCATGTAGGGCTAGTGAAATGTCACTGGGCTCTAGCCAACTCATACATCAGTCGCGACACTGAATATCCAGCAATTCACCAATCCTCATCGTGCATTAATTAATTTCACGCTATGAACTGGCCCATGCAGCAGAGGTCTAGCTTTTTTCGTTGCACCCACTATTTCTAATATATTTATGTAATAATGTCGCATTTTGTTGCACGGTCATCAAACCAGCCATAAAATCTGGATACGATGAGAGGGTTATGGACGTTAGGTACTAACCGTGAGATGTGAATTCGACGTTACCTGATTGTTCATACTATATCCGTCTAACTCGAGTAGGCCCCCAATCATTCGACACAGATCATCATATGTTAGTGATCTACACAGATATACATCCTTGTTAAAAATGTTTGTACATCAGAAATTAAAAGGTCTACTAGACAAATGGAAGGTAACGGAAAACAAAAAAATAAAGTAAATAATAAGAAGTACAATTTGAAGCTCACCATGCCGGATAATAAAATAGCATTGACAGGATAGATTTAAGGTGAGAACTTTTTTTATGCGCCCTAGACAACTTTTTACTAAACTCAAAAGGCTGATTAATATCAATAAGATAGATAATATTGATATGACATGATTTCTCCGAAGTGTATTTGGTAAGTGGTTACATAATTCAAAGGGGTATTGCAGCGTATCTAGTGAGTAATAACTCCAAGATAATAAAATTGAATTATTATTTAAAATCTAGACCAATTTAAATGGTTTCAAGTAAAATCTGATTAGTGATGAACGTCACTAGTATTGAGATTATAATAATCATCCCATTCAACAATCGTAATGAATGATTATCATCTCCATTCGACATTGGTTGGAAATGTTAACCAATTTACCGACTTTAATTTATCATACTTTTAATGTATGACCTGAATTACTTAAGTTTGATTCTTTGTGAGATCATGAATGTTCACTAATGGCAATGTTGATAAACGTAATAATCGGGAATCGTAAATCGGTACTAATGTTTTCTTATTTCAAAATTTTAACAATTCTCAAGTTGATCCCAGTTTATTAATAAAATTTAATCGTTTGTTCATTTTTGTAAGTCCAATTTTTGTTTAACACAAATATTATTAATATCAGTATAGGGTTGTAGAGATTGTTAAGTTTTTGATTGAGATCATAAACTGATTGATGTTAGACCATCACAATTGAAAACCTGGATGTATTGGACGGCTGTTTCGTCCTATTGTGAGACTCGTCAACAGTGCGCATGCATGATCTCGATCGCGGGATTATTATATATATATATATATATATATATATATATATATATTTGTTATTATTATCTTCATGATTATAGATTTTTCTTCTTATTCAATCATTTGTTTAGCCTTCAAATACAACCACATTCCATCCGTACTAGTACATAATGATGGGATAATTTGTACTTGAGCAATAATTTATCTTAATGAATGGATAAATGGACACATCTATATTTGATGGACAAAATAATTGTATAAGCATATTTTTATACACATGTAATACACATGGACGATATATATATGGTATTATCAATTGACTTCCGAATACCCTTTCATGGTTATATGCTGATATGCAATATTTATTTGTGAAATATTTATATTATAAGTGCTGAACACAGAAATAGCACTGTTTGTAGTCTCGCTCTGTGTGAATGTGTGTGTGTGTGTTTGTAAACTGTGTGTAAACTTCTTTTAAAAAAAAGTTTGATAGTGTTATATGTACATTTATATTCAATTAATTTATCCTCTTTTTGTGCAAATGATTTGTGTAATCAGTTGGTAATTGTTTTTCTATTATTATCATTATTATTATTATTACTGATATTATGACTGTTTATTTTCTTATACGTATTATTGCCTAGTCTTCGTATACATATAATAGATGTATAAAGTGAATTATTTCTTTGTATACAGTAGTATTATCAATAAAACGTCAATTATTAGTTCTTCCTTCATCACCTTCTTCTTCTTCTTCTTCTTCTTCTTCTTCTTCTTCTTCTACATGTTCTCGCCTTCTATTAGTAATCATCTATTTTCATGAACATTCAAACTATTAGTCAATTCAATGTATACATCTTCATTATGTAGTATTGTGTTTACAATACCCATACACAAACACACACGCAAGTATACAATATTACTTTTGTTTTGTTTGTTTTCTAGTCCATAAAAGGATTATGTGCAATATTATTATAATTGTGTTGATATTTCATTGATTTCACATTTTATCACTTCTCATAATCTAAATGATGATTGACTTTATTCAATTCATTTTCTATTGCTCTTATTCAATGAATAAGTATGTGTTCTATTCTAATAAAAGAAAATTAGACAATACATGTTTACACATTTTATATTTAATATTTATTAATTTATCATAACTAAATTAGTGAAAACATTCCTTATTTGTTACTATGTAGACATAGGTGTCAATGATTGTTTATTTCTTAAAATAAACAAACAAAAAAGAGAAACAATAACAACACATGACAATTCATCATATAGTGACACTTATATTTTATCATTCAATTTATTATATTATCAATCAGATCTTATTTCTTGTCATACACCTTCAGTGGACTTATTGAATTACTTTAATTCTAGATTGAAAAGACTTGGAAAATAAAACAATGTGACAATAAAAATCCATATAGATTTTCTTTGAAAAAAAATAAAGAAAGAAAATACACATTTATTTTTTACAATTTATCTTATTGCTCATTTCACCATGATTGTTCTCTTTTCATTATTCTCTTTTGTCTGTTTCTTTTCTTTTCTTTTCTTTTTTCTTTCTTTCTTTCTTTCTTTCTCCTTTTCATCAAAATAAACTAGTTTGTTTTAATGATTCTCTGTTTTTTTTTACAATTTGTTCATTGATTATTCTCGACTCTTTTCTATAGTAGTAGTACATTATGCTGTATGTTTTCATAGACGTTCATTGTATTTCTCTAAACTAAGTGTCTCTAATTGTTTTTGTTCGAGTTGTTGTCGTTGTTTTTCTTTTCTTTTCTTTTCTTTTCTTCATTGTATCATTTTCCTCCATATTTATATAAAACATCTATTTGTATAGTAATAACACAATTGTAAGTTGAATGAGACTTTTCTTTTCTTTTTTTAGATTGTTATTTGTTTTTAATAATAATAGTAATAATAATAATAAAATAATCTATAATTTTCCTTCTACATTTGATTGTATCATTCAATCTATAGTCATTAGTTGAATATCTATAATGAAATAGGTTTTGAATGGTGACTTCTTTGAATTCTACAAATAAACTATGTAAAATGTATTATGACTTCTTATATCTTGTGGTCATTATTATTATTATTATTATTATTATTATTATTATTGTGAGGTTATGGTGAGTATTCTTCTTTTTCCTCCGTCTCTCCTTTCGCTTTATATAAATTGAATAAACATAAAATAATAATAATAATAATAACAATTTTTTTCATCCTTTTTATTTCACTAATCATTCCATCCTATTAGTGTGTTTACTTATTTCTCTCTACTCTACTTTACTCATCTCTACTCTACTCTTCTCTACTCTCTATTACCTTATACTCTCCCTTCTGCTCTCTCCCTCCATCATTCAATATCATAATTTCTAATTCTTGTTTATTCTAAATAACTATGCGTTATTGATATAATAATAATAATTATTATTATTATCATTAATCATTATAATCATAATTATAATAAAGTATAGGAGATGTTTATTAATTACATGCATATATGTGTATACATATATATATCTATATGCATAAATATTTATTGGTTTATTGATTTATTGATTTATTTATGAACACAAATCGATCTGTATACAAAAAAATCATAATGAATTATAGAAACTAATTAAAACTTACTACTATGTATTCCTTTGTAATCATGACAACTAATTAATGAAGAACAAAAATAAATAAATTTAATTAAATGTATAACCTTACGCACATACACGCGCACACACACACATATAAATATATGTATGCGTGTGTTTGTGTGTGTGTGTGTGCAAACAATCAATAACTCATTCTCCCCTAACATACATTGAAACTATCATAGACATTAATATTATATAAATATATTTTTGTTTTCGGAGCTGTGTGCCATTTTCATAACATTATTATTATTATTATTATTACTATTACTATTATGATTATTATTATTCCTTCAGATAATTAATAATGATAATATTAGTAAGTGAATACAACATTAATTGTTCTGTTAAATTCATTTCAATAAATAAAACAAGAAAGAATTTCTATTTAAATTTTACGATTATTATTGTTATTATCTTTTTTCTTTTTGTTTTTATTCTTTCTATTTGAGTATAGTAACATTGTTTTAATGCGGAGGGGGGGGAGGGGAGGTATGATGTGTTAAACAGAAGGATTAGAAACAGTGAAATCATTAGATAGATAGTTAGATAGATACAAAGATATAAATATTATTTTATATATTTATATAATTTTTTTTCTAGCTGGAAATTTCAACCTAGTTAGAGACAATACTGTTTTATTATCATTTTTGATAAAGTTTTGTTCTCTAAAATTGGATGGTTTGATATTGGAGCTTTTATTGTTATTCTAAATGATAATATCAGCACAAACTTTAAATAGAAGTGATGCATTCGAATTTCTTCACATATGGTTTACAGGTTGTCTTGTAGACTTCAATCTTGTATGTTTAAATCATTATTTTGATTTTATCTCCAATTGATTTAATTGTGTATTTGTCCATGATTTTTCTGATTAGTTCATAAATTACATTGATTTCAATGTGTTTATTGATTGTTGACACAGTTCACTTCTACCTGGAGTTTGTTCTGATGACATCGTTCAGAACAACTATGAAAGCTCCACTATCACACCATTCAGTTCAGAGAACAAAACTCCATCAAAATCATCCACCTGAGCTACAAATCTTCTCCACTATCTCACTGTCTTACATCAAATGAGTTGATAAATGATCATATGGATTTTATATTTGCCCACCACTGTTGCTACCTTGACGTGATGACTGGGCTTTCCTATCGTGATGAAGCAGTCGACCTATACTGACTGGAAAAATCGTTCCTCAAGATCGTACCATGTCAGAAAAATCGGTTGAAGAGCGGTAAGACTAGAAGCAGCAGACTGAAGGTCTGAGGGCGAAGTCGTACTGTTAACTGTACAGAGGTGTGACGGTAGTAAGGTGTTTTTTTTTTTCAGATGACCAGCATGACAGCGATGCTGCTTTCCCGCAAGAAGGAGTGGCGTTAGGAAAGGTCGACTATGAAAAAATCGAGCGAAAAACGTTCCTATTCTAGCAGAGTTCTTTCTCTAACACATATCGAAAGGCAATGTTATCACGGTAGTCTCAACACGGTCCAGCAGTCATTTGATTACCACAATCACAAATAAAAGAACTTTTTAATATTTCCATTTGTTATAGCCGCTTAATTATCACGTCTTCTCTAAAACCCTCTGTAAACCGACCGTACGTGTGTATAAGGTACTAAAATTGGAGCAGTGACCTTGAAATCCTTCAGACGCTTCTGACTGACTCGTCCATGAATTATATTCTCGCCCCCTGGATCTAGATTCCGCGTTACTCGGTGGTCATCAGCAAGGTGTCCCCACAGTCTTAAGGGAACTGATGCCTCTTGACAAATTCAGTTCCATGTTTTCCAGCTTCACAGCCAGAGGTGTTACCGCCGAGCTTTCCGAATATCGAATGACCTTCTGACGTGTTCTAAATAACACGAAATTTAGATCCATGGTTTCCTGTAGATTAACTCCAACCACTTACTCATCGTAACACAGTACAGGCGATGTCGAATCACCTAGACTAGTGGCCACATTCAATCTGCATTAAGATGAACTTGATATAATTGATATTGATCACTACCCAGTGATTATTCTTTTAAAAAGTTTTAATGCTTATAGATCAATTATGCCGCCACGTTACAACAGAGATTACACTGTAATTTGTACGAGGTATTACGAAACCAACAAATTAGAGGATATAGAAAGTGAATGTTTACTGACTGTTAACGTGAAAAGATTTTCCACGCGAACTTAGTTTGGAATTAAAACTTCTACAGAAACCTTCAAATATCGTTGAGGAAGATGTTCTTCGTAATTATTATGAAAACTAAAACTCTACAACACTTCACTATCAATGTGATATACTTAAATTAAGGTTACTTTTTTGATGACAACAATTTGTATCGATTGATTCATTTTATCTTACAAAGTGTACCAATCGATAACTGTGTAGGATGTTGCTTTCTTCAACTTATTTCAAATCATAAACCATCATGTCTAGATAGATGTTAATTGAATATGAACAGTGAAATTCTCTGATTTTCATTCATCACAAATGATTCCGTCTTATTAAATTATTCAATTAAAGCAGTACACAAAATA